GTTCCTCCTTTTAGTGAGTATCTCCTAACCCCAGCTTGATTTCTTGTTATTGTATTATTTTTATTTTTTAAGTCTAAGGTCTTTCCATGTAGTCCAAAAAAAGTTTCCACCTTAACTTGTGGGGAACAGTAACCAGGCCTACCGCCATACTTATCTTGTCATAAGGCATATGCTGAAAGTTGAAAAGGATATAGCTGCCCTTATTAAAGAGCATAAAAAAGCTTAGAGGCATTAGGTAATGTTAGGTCAAGCCTTAACGTGTCCCACAAGAAGAAGGTAGAGCTGAAAGAAAAGGTGAACGAGCCGACAACGATGTTAGATGCTATCTCAATTGATAAGGCCTCAACCAAACCTATGAAGGAACAAGCTGAGCTGAAGCTTAATGATGCTCAAGCTGAAATCACAAGGTTGAGGTCCGAGCTGAAAGCCCAGGATAAGAAGAAAAAAGAGTTGAAAGTGAAGGTTATAGAAGAGTACAAAACCTTCAATGATTATCTTTGGGTACAAATAAAGTTTTCAAAAAAAAATGTACTTGATGCCTTCCAGCTGGCTAAGGATAAAGTACAGTTTAAATTCCTCTCTCTTAACCTCAACTTTTTTTATATTGACATCAATAATATCAAATCGAAGGCTTATCCAAATCAGCCCGAAGAGGATAAGGATGAAGAAGAGAATGATGAAGATGAAGCCATAAAAGGTGAATTGGAGGCCATTTTGGGGATCGAGGAAGAAATTATGAAGGTTGTCGAAGGTGAAGTTGTCCTTCCTACTCCTACTGATGAAAGTACTCCCCCACCACTATTGCTACTGATGAATAAATTTTATAATTTTTTATTTTTGACTTTGTAAAATTTTTTTATGTAAGGTCAGCTTTTTGTAATAACTTCTCATACTTTATTCGATATATTTTGTTAAAATGAAATAAAAAGGAAATTTTTTTCAAGTTTCAGCTTGAATTTATCATCATTTCTAAAGACGGATAATTGGACTGAAAACTTACATAATTGCTTAGATAAGATGAACATAATTACATAACTCTAGGTCAGATTTTTTTAAATCACTTAAACGTAAGCTTACCGAAAATAATTTAATTCATGTGTTTGCGTATAAAATAATACAAGTGTGAGCTCGATTTGAACCGACCTACTGATAATAGATTTGATTTGTATTTCACATCCTTGGAATGGTAGTGCCATTCATAAAACAATACAAGTGTGAGCTTTTTTGGCCAAGGTGAACTCTTTTAGCCAAGTTAATCACTTTGATCGAAGTGATCTCTTTCGGTCTATGTGAGTTTTTTTGGTCAAGCTGAGCTCTTTTGACCAAGATAATTAAGCTAAGCTTTTATAAAATTAATTTATTAAGATGAGCTCTTTGGTCGAGATAGTTAAACTAAGCCTTTGTAAAGATAATTTACCAATGTGAGCTTTTTTAGTTGAGGTACATTCTATCATTACCATGCTCAAGTTAAACTTTCTTTTTGTCGAGGTGAAACTACCTCTTGTGATCACATTAATCACCCTGACAATTGATCTACTATTGTTAGCTTAGCCCTCTTCTTAATTCGGCTCTTTTCATCAGGTATCCATTCCTTTCTGCTCTACCTTCCTTCTTTGCCCTGGGCGAGCGTTCTGTGGTCTTGTCTGTAGTCCATTCTAAGTTGGTTTTATTTTCTCTACCCCATAAATCTCTTTAATTAACCTTATCTTATCAGAGCTTCAATCTCATTTTTTAGGTCAACACAATCTTTAGTGTTATGACCGATGTCTCTATGAAAGTTACTTTTTTTGTTAGATCCTTTCTTATGTTTTGTCTCAATGGCTTAGGCCATCTGAGGTCGGGATTTCTTTCAACTTGCATCAGATCTTCTCGTGGGAGGTATTTAGTGTAGTGTAGCTCTTTTTTTCACTGAGAGTTCTAGCTTTATGCTGCCTCTCTCTTGAGAGAAGATCATAAAAATCTTTATCTTTTTTATGATCGAGAAAAGGGGATGAACCTCTTTCACCTCAACTACCGAAGAGGAGGGAAGACCCTCTTTCATCTTGGTTAGTTTTTATTGTAGCTTCAGTATTATGTCATCTTTCTTTTGAAAGAGGATTGTAAAATTTTTTACCTTTTTTATCACAGATAAGGGGGCATGAGCCTCTCTCACCTTAGTTAATTTTCATTATAACTTCAACATTATGTCGTCTCTCTTTTAGGGGAGGAGCATAAAAATTTTTACCTTTTTTATGATCGATGAAAGAGAAAATTCTCTTTTACTTCGATCGTCGAGAAAAGGGGATTAGCCTCTCTCACATTGGTTCCAAGCTATTGTATCAGGACCAAGCTGCGCCTTTTAATGTAGTGGGTAGACCTTTGCATATTATAGCCTTGTTTGCCCTCTATATCATCATGTTAGTTCTATAAAATTTTAAATGATCAAAAGGGTCGAAAGTACCGTCATATGTCTCCAAGGTTGGCATTTTAAATCCTTTGAGAGGCATAGCTTTATCAATTTCTTCAATAAAGGGTAAGGTCTCCAGGAACTTCAACTCATCTTTAAATGCCACTGCCTTTTGTTTTTAGCTCTTTTTACATGGCTTGCATCCAAGCTTTCAAATCTTTGTTCAATTGAAATTCATGGTTTGTTTGTTTGAATTTTTAAGTTATGGCATGTGTGAAATTATGGATGGGGTAGTGATAAGTTGGGTTTATGTGTTCTTCTTTTTTGAAAACCGAGAATGCCTCCGCTTCTTCGTAGCTTGGTTGTTCGACAATAACTTTTAGACTAGGTGTGATTAAGTTTAATATTTTTTGAAACTTGTTGTGGGGTTATAGTTTGAAGTATCTACTTGAAAGCTTGTATCTGTTCTATCGGGGCTTGAAATTGTTTTATTATGGATCCCGCCTATAGTTAAGCTGAGCGAACAGAATGTTGGATAAGGTGAGTTTCTATTTCAACCAGGGTGGTTACCTCTCCTTCATCTTGGGTTCTTTTTATTGGTGGCATTGTTTTGTGCTTAGCTAATACGAGATAACCCCTATCTTATGCATCAAATGTTGGTGTTGAGCTCCAATTGAAGGGTATTCTTATGAATACATAAGAGAAAGACGATTAGAGGCAAAAACAGGGGATGTTCCTTGCATTTGCACTCCAACATGCAAATCAGTAAATATTAGATCGGCAAGAAAGTAAGAGGGAGAGGTGAATAGGATCAACTTGCTTTCATGGTGCTTGAGTCTTCATATTTGTAAGTAAACTGAGAAGGATCATAAGAGGACAATTAGGACAAAGTTGAGTTGAGATGACATTAACTATATCAGGCCAACTTGATATGTCAAGTCGACACAAATAATAAAGATACTTCTGATTATATGCTAAAGGTTTTAAGAGAAAAAAAGACTATTATATGCTTTTGATAATCAAATACCTCTAACACGATCCAATTATACAAGATGGAAGAAAATGGAGGGCACACTTTGAAGAATGTTTTGTAGTGCGCACTTTGAGAGAAGGAAATGCAGTTGCTCATGAGCTAGTTGGGAAAGGCCTATCAATAGTGGATGATCTCTAATGGATAAGGGAAATTTCTCAATTTATACACTCAACTGTTTCAACTGGCATTCGAAATAATTTATTATGAATGGATCCTATCTTTACTCAAAAAATGTATATATAAAATTATAAAATATTAAATTTTTATTAGACATAAAATAACATCAATTTGTCGTTGAAAAATGCTACCAGGATAGAAGTCAGCAGCTTATGTATGGAACTATGATGAAAATTTGTTTTTCTGAAGATCCTCTCTCTAGCTGGATTATTCTTTTTCCCTATGAATTAACAAAAATTTGTAAACCCGCAAATATAGAACGTAAAATTACGGTGCTAGGGATGTCAGACACCTAAGTTTGGATCAAGTACAGAATCGCAGACCAAGCAGCCAAGTCCTCGTGGGATTAGCTCGGCCTCATTTGACGCTGTTATTTAATGGGAAAACTACCAAGATACTCCGGAAATTTTACTCTCCGAACAAGGCTGATGCAATTGAAGTCATCTTTTTATGTCATGTCCGATGCCTTTATATCTGCTAATAAGGTCGTTGGATCAATAACCTCTCCATTATGCATAGCACATGATGTCATCTACTGAAGCATTCCTCCACCAATTAAGCAAAACTCATTACGGTTGTTCTTGCATCAGCATATCATGGATGCCATTCGGATAGCATGCAATTGACAATGACTGGCTATTAAATTGCAAAAGGATCAAGACAAATGGAACAGGCATTATAAATTAAACCGCCGGCTGCCAACTTGTTTGCAATACTTTTATTATTAGATGATCTCACACATTCTGATTATGGCAATTAATAGTTTGTAACTTATAAAAAATTGAATATTGGACAAACTGTTTGTAATCCATTCGTCATGAATAGCCATGAAACAGTAAACAATGGGTTTCCTTGTTTTCACATGGTTAGAGTTTATACGACTTCGAGAATCCCAAAATGTGATGAAGAATTGAAGCAATTTGCTGCTTCAAATTCCCTCTTTCTCCCCCTTTCTTTTTTTTTTTTCAGGATTATTTGCATTGCTGGGACTGTTTATCTTTACCAATCCACTGGTTGGACTGTCTAATGGGCCAATCTTTTTTCCTTGGTGAAGAAAAGATTTTATTCTATATAAAAACCTTATTGATTTGTTAAGCAAACTGTCACCCTCATTTGCATGTTCCTGCAGAAATCTCATCCTAAAGGTTAATCTCAATGAGCGTGTGCAACTTTCAGGAACTTGAGCAGTAGTTGGAGCGATACTGTTTTGCCCAACAGGTTCTATGATCTCCTAGTAAAATTGATGTTTGACAATTTACATATGTTGTTACAATTTCATGGGTGAAATCTGTAATCAACAGCTACGACCGTACAGACTATAAATATATATTTGCAGTACAGGCTTTGCATTTGAGAAGTTATGCACTGAATGACAACCATAATTATATTTACCGCTACGAAAAAAAAAATCAAGAATTAATCCTTTATTTAGCACATCGAATGGATTCACTCTTACAAATTCAGAACTAACAAAAGACAACATCAAACAATAGTATACATGTAAAGGAACAGTGCTCACCAACATTGAACTTTCCTCACAATATTGCCCTTTTGCATGTGAGGAAAGAAAAAAAAATGCAATTGTTGAAGCAACAGGATAATGATGCTTAAGAACAATGAGGCCACGGGTTATCTCCATGGGAAAGAATGCAGCAGATTCTCTAATTTGCATATTAATAAAAAAACAACTAAAATAAAGTTTCTAGGAATGAGGAAAAGAAAGATTCAACCCTTTCTTAGTAATGTATAATGGCTTAAAGTCGTCGTTGATCAGCTTTAACTCCTAGCTCGGACGAGGGGTGATTGAGGTAAGGGAGAGTGAGGAGACATGATGCCTGGTGACATGAAATCATCCACTCTTCGTGAAAAGCTGAGTTTAAGGCTGCTTCGCCTGCAAAGTTTGTTATGAGGAATCATGGCCGCGTTGTTCTTACGCATAAAGTCTCTGATTCTCAACAAAGCAGTTTCCATGGTGTCGTCATCCATGTTAGCAAAGCAAACCCTGAACCAACCTGGCTCGTGGCAATGGAAAGAAGAACCGGGGGAAACATTGAGCTTAACTTCATGTATTATCACCTGCCACAAATCCATTTCTGCTTCAAATGTCTTCGCTTTGAGGAGTTTACGCAGATCCATCCATATAAACAGGCCAGCATTGCTCTTCAAAGAACCAATACCAACTTGAGAAAGACTCCAAGTGAAATACTCGTGCCTTTTGAATAACTTCTTTTTGCTTTTAATAATAAAATTATCAACAAAATCATCATCAGATAACATTGATGCAATTAAATGCTGAGTTTGTGAAGACACCAATCCAAAGCTGGACATTTTGCGGGTACAGCTCACCAATGCATCATTGTATGAGTATACAATGCCAACCCTGAAGCCAGGAAACCCCATGTCCTTGGAAAGACTGTAAACAATGTGGATGAGATCACGATTACATTCGACTTCTTCTATAATCTCAGAAATACTGACGAACTCAGGCTCCATGAAAACTGTGGCAGCATAAATCTCATCACCGATCAGGTGGATGTTCTTTTCGTTTATGAAGCTTACAATACTCTTCAACGTCTCTCTATCCAAGATAGTACCCAATGGATTTGATGGATTTGTTATGAGCAAACCCTTGACTCTAATGTTATCTTCTTGTGCTTTTTCATATGCAGCTTCCAAGGCATTTCTAGTGATCTTGAAATTATTAGAACTCTCACAAATGACCGGAACAAGTTCAACCCCTGTTCTCCATCTCAAGTCACGATCAAATCTGCATAAATTAAGGATGCTAAATATTTTGAGTAAAACAGGAACTAATTACATCATGAAAATACCAAATAATTATTAAAAAAATTAGTAGTAATTGATCATTTTTCGATTCCAAATTGCTTAAATTAGTCAACTCATTTAAGCCTTAATCTCATCGGTCACCTGTTTTCCTTTACAACATCATATTACGTGTCTATTTCATGCATCCAGCTGTTATGCTTCAGAGGTGGGTCTATATATAAGAGAAATGATCAGTAGACTGATTCAAATTGAAAATGACTACTCAACTTTCTAAAACTTACTGTCCCACTGAGGTTTATGAGCCTCATATTTATAAGATATATTTTTATTTCCTTTCTGTTTTCGCCAAAAATTAGCACGAATTGTTCAATTATGATTATCCTCCATCCTGCATAAAAGATTATGAAATTTTTCTATATCTGTTAAAGGGTATCTCTGTACTTGACAATTATATATGTCCTTGCATGATTCCATCAATAATACAGAGATATGGGCCAAAAGCTTAGAAGTTTTTGACATCAAAACGAAGGAGACAATGTTGCTTTCATGAATCCCATCAGTGGAACGTGCATAGAAAACTTGGATGTCAAGAATTTTTTCCTTGAGAAAAAATCAAAAAAGAAAGCGGAAAGTACTGAATTACCCAAACTCTATCCCCTTCGAACCAATCCCACGCGGCGACGTCGTCACATTTGACATTACAGCTAAGTTGACTAAATATAGTTTCTATTGATTTAATCTCAGTAGTCGTAATTGAATTGCAAATTGGCAATCCCCCCCCCCCCCCTTCTTCTTACTTTCCATGTGTGGGTGGGTTTGGGGACAAAGGTCAAGGTTGGTCATTACAAGTGTGAAAGAAAAAACTCAAAACTCAAGTTAAGCAATTCGAATTTGAGCTCTTGTGTGCATCTAATTTCCATTTTCTAGTATATATTTTAGAGGAAAAATCCCAAAATAAATTAAGAAAAAGTCAAAATGATGTATTACCCTGGATAATATGGAGTGGGAACCAAAAATGCTTCACCGGGATCTGCCAAGCAAAAGGTAACCATCTCATGAGCTCCGGTTGCTCCACCGCTCATAACAATGCGGTCTGGGTCAAATTTTACTCTATCTCCCCTCACTTTCCCCATAAATTTTGCAATAGCCTGTAGTAAAGCAAAGGTTTCATTGATCAGTATTAATTAATGAGATTAATCAACAAATTAACATGTCATGAAGTAGATGAAAGAATTCTGTTATTATTTGCCATACTTGTCTGAACTCAGGCATCCCATGATAATCCTGGAAAAGTGCTGTCTCCTTGAATTTGTTTACACCTTCTGCAGTACAGAGAGAGGCTTCTGGGTGTTTCATGAGCCACTTTTTGATGAAGTCAAAGCAAAGCTGGAGATGTTAAGAGCAGGAAACTATCAGTTTCTACCAGAGTCCAGAACACAGATAGTAGTCATGTTACTACAAAATTCCTGGAGGTTTCTAGTTACCTGATTCTCAGCTAGACCCATCTGAATGACTCCTTCAGGTCTGTCTGTGGGATGAAAAGGATTAGTCTCGTATGCCTTCCATCCATCGAAGTAAGGAGAGTTTTCACCGTGACCATTACCAGCTGCGATCTTGGACAAGGCAGCCATTTTTTCCTGCTTGAAAAGAATCGTTTCTTTCGAGTACAAAGAATATATTAGCTTCGGAGAAAAGCAAACAAGTAGTTACAGAAAAAGAATAGATCAGCTTTCGAGAAGCAAACAATTAGTTACAGAGATGAGAAAGAATAGGTTAGTCTTGGTTAGAGTGTTGGAATTGCTTGAACTATTGTGGCTTCGGTTTGCCTGCTTCAAAGCGTTGCTATTTATAGTGTTGATGACATCAAGTCTATGGTGGATGGGTCTATCGGGGAACTTCCCTGAAGGATGAAAGGCAGTTTACGTTTGACAATTTGGTACGCATTTTAACATTAAATTTCCTATTGGAATTTAGAGAATTACATAATAAATTTGAACTTGGATTCCTCCTCTTTACACACAAAAAAAAAAAAAAAAGCATGAGATTAAATGGTCATCAATTAGGTTAATGCTGACTCCAGAACATGATAGGCGGCAGGTGTCATTAGTAAACTAATACTTTAAAGGACTGAATCAATGTTTAAATAAATTTTATCTTGATGGCTATATTTCACTTGAAATATTTAGGTTAAATTTTCGTTATTAATAGGTTTTTTGTGGTAATTTGTAACGTAAAATTTTGTTAAGACTGTGATATGCTTTAATCTCGAAATAAAATAATCTTTTTATTTAAATTTTTTTAATAAAACAAAAATAAATCGTACTTATTTACTTATTGTAATTGTTTTCTATTTAAGTGTACAACATTCGTTAATACCGTTTTTTTTTTGTCTTATAATTAGACCTCTGCAAAAAACCCTTTATTTTATGATGAAATTTAAAATTTTCATAAGTATTGAATTATGAAATTATTATATTTAATTTATCAAAAAAAAAAGAAATTATCATATTTAGTTCAATAAATACGACACTTAAGTATATACTGATAATTGATCACTCAATCATAAAATACATAACTAGTATTTAAAGAACTAGATTTGGATCTCTCCATCAAATTATATTTGATCAACAAAAAAAGTTCAATTATTGCTAAATTGTATAATTCTTAAACATAATTATTATCATATAAAATAGAATAAAATATGTCATTGTTCACTTAATTATGATTGAAATTTTAAAATAATTACTTAATTATTAATTTTTTGATTTAATCATTTAAATTTAAATAAATAAAATTTTTTTATCATTCAATCGTTAACTTTAATAATATATTAACATGACATTATCATATTAATTATCAAATATCATATTATTTTTCACGTGAACGAACTATTAATATGTCTCGTGACATATGATCATTGAGGTGATAGTTTTATATTAATATATAATTATAAACTAATGGTTGAATGATAATAAGATATTTACTCAAATTTAAATAATTAAATAATTATTTTTAAAATATTCATATAATTAAATGATTAATTGTATATTTTATCTTACATAATAATCTAGTTTTTTTTTTCCCTCCATTCCACACGCTATTTCTGTTTAGTGAAAAGAGTTCCACAATTTATACATTTTTTTTTTGTGGCCAAGAATTTTTAGTAACATTTATAGGATGAAAAACATTTTCCATGACAATTAGGCCTCTTACGCAATAATTATGGTTTCCAAAATTCGGCAGACGGGGGGGAAAGTGGATTTTTTGGTTCTCACACGCGGTACCGTGTGTCAGTCCACAAATAACACGTTGCAAAGCCACGAACTAACTAAATTTAGTAAAGGGGTTGCGAATACATCAAGTATCGATTAAAACCAAAACCGTCCCATGTGACTATCATACTACTTTTGTACGTAAAAATTCTCATTTTTTACACGAGGAAATGCTTCCCCCTTCCGGTCTTTCCTTTGGTTTGCCACGTGGCATTAGGCATTGTTCCATTTTTCATATGTTAAATATGGACTATGAAATCAATCTCAAGATTTATTTAACCAAACGATAAGATTAAAAATAATAATTAAAATAATTAAAAAAATTATTGTAATTATAATTTAAAAAATTTTATATAAAAATTTATATTAAATAAATTTTATTAAAATTATTATTTAAATTTAACTGATGATGATATAAAATCAATTATATCACGTTAAAAATATGGTGGAATTCGAAGCCCCCGTCAGTTTCGTAGTTTGAAAATGCTGTAAATACTTATATATCGGTCTAAGCATACAGTATAGCTCCCTCTTGGGACAGTGACAGCAGGGCTGTGCAGCCTCCGACCAGGTCGTTCAAAGAATAGCAGGCGACTAGGTATCCAAGTTATTGGTGCTATCCTTTGGGCCTTCTTCAGTAATTAGTGTTAGTGTATGTTTTTTTCTTTAAAATCAAGTTGCTCAAAACAATGATAGTTTCAAATTGAAATCAAAGTAAATGGAGTGGACATTGCTAGAACATTGCTTGTAAAGCAGGATAGAGTTAAAAAAAAGCATATATTTGCAAGATGCACACCGACACAAGGGAGCTAATCCGCAATCACCAACAATTAATTAAGAAATTGGAGATAAGAGAGACAGACTTCACTCCGACAAAAAGTTAGAGGAATTGAAACATCCGAAGAGAACTTAGTGTCAAATTAATTTGCCCATGGCTCAATCAATTCAGTAGAAGGTCTCAATCTGCTTATCTGCTATATGTGGCCCTTCTCAAGAATAATTCAACTCTCTTTGGCCCCATTTTATAAATGCAATATTACTCGGGAAGTGTGATCAGAGAGGCAGCAGCAAGCAAACTGTCGACTGTTATGCAATGATTTTATTTTTTTTATTGGTTAGTACAGTTGGATTACACAAACTAAGATAATGGTTTTATATCACTTTTATATGATGCTTAATCTTTTAAAGGAAGATTTGATCAAGATTCTGTGTGTTAATCTGTCTGCTAGGTTAATTAGCTGAGTAGTTTCCTTCGATTTTTTAATATTTGGTAAATTAGCTTACTGTCCTCCATCGACCTTTGACTGCAATCTGCAATCTGCAATTCTACCATTTTTTTTTAATGCATTTAATACCCTTTTCTGCATTTCTTGTATTACCCAACCTAACCATAGTGACTTAAATTTGATTGGACTTGAATGAATGATTTTATTAACTCTCAACTAAAATCTAAATTTTAAATCTCGAATTCTTATGTCTCCCACTATTGAATACATAAATAAAATAAACATTACTAAAGCATAGAACAATTCATCCTCCGACATTGGCAGAAATTAAGTTATACAAAAACTCAATGAACTTTCACATGTCCTTCTCACTTACTCTGTGCTGATTTGATTTGCCTCTTTCTAAAACTTGGTCGGGGGTATGCGACAAAAGGAACAATATATGACAAATTGGAACAACAAGAAAGAGATGTTCTCGGTGGCTTCTAACTTGGTTACAGACTTTGTAAACCTCCGGGGAGGCTACGTAGTGGTCTTCCTCCGAGGATTTTCATGGTCAGAAACTGATCGAATGAGACCTTTGAGGCCTACATAGGCGTCGAATTCGACCCACTTGTTTGACTTTCTCTTTAATAGTTGAAAGCTTGCAATTCCTTGTTCCGGACGTCAAGTTTTTTATTCCAACTATATTAGCGTTGAAAATTCTAATCTAGAACAATAAACCTTGAGCTAATTGAAAAGCCTGTTAACAGTCTGACCGGGTCTTTAAAATGGTCGAAGCATAACTTGAGAGACTTTTCTGGGTTTATTGTAGTGGATGACAATCAAAACACCAGAAAATATAAATAAACGATAATCATATGGGGAATATCATCAAAAAAATGAATTCATTGCCAGTGGTCAGAGAGAGTTCTAAAATTGGTTTTTAAGTCTTATAGTTTGAGCTTATTTTTCCAACAAAACATCAGTGGATTCCAAAAAAGCTAAATTCTTATTCCCTTTGCGGTTGCCGTGTTGGGATGGGGAGTTTACAGGGCGCAAACAATATTTGAAAAGAGTGAACTCACCAAACTTATTCCATAATCATGTGTGATTCATGGTTGTCATGTATTTGAAGATTTAATGTGAAACTTGAGAATGATTCAAATTCAAACAAACAAATGAGTAAATTCTTGAACACGTGAAGGCAGCCATGGGCACTTTAATGCAGTAGAAAATAGGAATTGAGCATTTGACTTTGGTATGTATTCTATTTCAAGTGTTGAAACCTTGACAAACTTCATAACCTAATAAGCAATTTGGAAACTGTAGCCCGTCAAAACTGAACATCATTGTTCATTCGGACAGGTAAAGTGTCAATAACACAACATCCTGGTCCAACCAAATACATTAAGTTGTCACACCTAGTAATACCACGTTAATGACGGTATAGAATAATGCTCAAGATGGACAATTGCCACCATACCTTAAACCGATATCCAACACCAATATTTACGTCCTCATCAGTAACACCACGGTATGTGCTGCAATACTTCGATTTTCACCAAGGCTATCAACCTTCTCATGAGTCTTTGCCTTAAGATTGACAACAGATGGGTCGGCTCCCAGCAACTCAGACAAGTTGGCTTTGATAGCCTCCTTGTGTGGGCTCAGTTTTGGTCTTTGAAGAATTAAGGTGGCGTCTAAGTTTCCAATCTCATAACCTGCCTCATGCATGAGTCTCACCTGAAATGAACCATGCTGCAGAGGATTAGCATGATTAATCTAAATAGTCTGAACAGCTAAAACTTAGTATAAGTTCCTAGAATGGATGATATATACAATGATGGCCTAGCATAGCTAACTTGAGCAGAGTACCTAATGCATAAGGGGAAAAAATCCCAGACAAAAAGTCTTTCAACTCATTTTATTTTTTAAATAATACATTATTAGTAAAGTTTCTTTCTGATTGTGCCAGTATATCAATATGTACAAACTTAGCCAGGGAGTACTTCAAATGATATACACATTTAGTTACTTACTATTACTTTCTAAGATCTGAATTCAGTAGAAAGAGGACAGCTGCCTCTTTCCTGAATTAAATCAGTTAAAGGGTCATCCACGTCCATATTTCAAAACAATCATGGTTGTCATATATTACCCCACTTTATAGTTTGTTTTGCCTTGCTAATTTGTTAATCATTCTTCCTTATGCTGGTCCTACAAACAAATTTTAGGTCTACCAATTTAGGTTTGACAATCTCACATTAAGTGAAACTTTTAGAACACCTAACAGCCAAATCCTCAAGAAGAAAGTAGCACTAAAAGAGTTGGATGAGAGGAGGCATTGGGGCACATTTCAATGATTTAGTTTCTTTTCTGACTGAAGCAGTATACATGTAAATTCAGGCTCAGCAAGGATTCTTCCACAATACTATACATACAGAAAACCACATAAGAACTTCTAGGTGAAGTATATAGCATAAGATGTAAATAGCATTTCATTTTACGGCCTAGATTGACATCAGCATAAAGCATCACTTTGCACCTTGGGTATGATACAGGGTTTTCCTGCATGTACATGAATATCCATAGTTCGGTCAATAATAAAAGTTGATTCAATTTCCAACCACAAACAAGTTTGGCCGTTTTGAAGAAAGGTTCATTGCATTGTAGTAGGTGATGTCACCGTCAAACAAAGCATCACAGTTTTTACAGAATTCTACAGTGAAACAATATCATACCCGATATATTGCTCTTAAAAGCATCAATTTTTATTTTTTTTACCTATAAATTTTAAGTGAAAAATAATGTTTACAAGGTGCATCTGCTTGTACAATCACTTTGCAGGCTAAATAGAATACAAGGATATATAAAGTTTTCTTCAGTTATGTACATGCACATACCATATTAATTATTACAGTCCAACATAATAACTTAACCCCATTCCCAACAATAAACAAATTAAGCTGTTCTGAAGAAAGATTCACAGCCTGTTAGTGGGGCTTGAGTCAGTTGGCACTCTATTTGTAAGCCTAAGTCAGAGGGTGGACTGGGGCTAAAAGATATTGAAAGCTGGAATCAAGCTAGCACTCTAAGGTTATTTTGGTCCATTTTCGCTCAAGCAGGTTCCTTGCAGATTGCATGGCTGCAGAGGTATGTGCTGAAGGGAAGGAGCATATGGGAGATGCCAATCACCCAAAATCAAAGTTGGAGTATGAATAAGTTACTCTAGACGAGGGGAATTGCTACCAGGTTTCTAGTGCAGACTGACAATGGGATGGTTTGGTGCCAAAAAGGCCATGGGTACTCTGCTGCTGCTATATGGGATGAAATAAGGATAAGGCAGGAAAAGGTCAGATGGCACAAGCTTGTTTGGTGTAAGCCTCTTATTCCCAAGTATGCTATAATAACCTGGATGGCGGTACTCTACAGATGAGGCTTGTGTGCTATGCAGGCAGGACAGGGAGAGCAGGGAACACATATTCTTTAGCTGCAGGTACTCAAAAGATGTGTGGATGCAGTTGCCGCTATTGTGCAACCTAAGGAGGAAAGTTGCAGATTGGGAAGTTGAGTTCCAATAGGCCATAAACAAGCTCCAAGGGAAGCTCCAAGGGAAGGCTCTGTTATCTGTCATACTTATGCTGGCCTGGAGGGCATATATATACTGGACATGGGCAGAAAGAAACAGAAGAGTTTATAAGGCAGAGGAGCTTGAAGAGAATCAGATAGTAAAGCAGATAAAGGAAGCAGTTCGGCTAAGGTTAACTGGGTTTAAAAGGGCTTGCTCATGATCATGTAAATATACAGCTCTGTGAACGATGGGGGCTAAGTAGATAGATGTTAGAATAGTGAACTGAAATAAGTTGTACTTGTACCTTTGTAGCAGCTTACTGCTTCTTGGATTATGAATACATTACTTATCCAAAAGGAAAAATATTCATTGCTTGTTAGGGTCATTGTATCAAATAAAGAACAACATTCATTGCATTAGGGTTGGCATGTCAGTATCAGAGTCAAAGCATTGGAGTTTTGCTCTAATCCAGCAGAGTCATATGCACTTCTCCACTCCTCATCACAGCAGACATCTATTAATTTGCTTTGCTAATGCATCTAAGACAAACTACCAATTCTTTTGAACTAGTGGAAAGTTTTCATTTCTAGGCAAATAAATTAACCAGCGATGCCCCTCAAGAAATCAACAAGTAGTGCTATAAAATTTATGGGTTAACCACAAAGACTGACCATGTAGTCCAACCCACTCAAGAAGTTTCTTTTTATTTTTGTTTTTTTCTTATTAACAAAGCTAAAAAAGATATGTCATAAAATTTTAATACTAAATATTGAATCAAAGTATATTAGTGCAGCCTTTAACTTTAAGACCCATTTATATTTTCCGTGCTTAGCTATGCATCTGAACTAAACAATCGCACAATTCAGCTCTGCGTTGTCTTTCTTTTACTTTCTATTCAACTAGAGTTTTGACAGTACTATGGTGGATTGGCATCCCAACCTAACACGTTCCATCTAAACAAGGCCACATTACATTTGGAAGTTTCATAGTCTTTTCTTTTTTCCTCTGTTTTTAAGGTAACCAGCAGTTAATCAGTCAAAGGCTCAAAGAACCCACAGGAAATAAACACCCCCAAAAAATATAAATAAAAAGAATTTCTCAAACTATGCAGAATCTACACCAAAGAAAAACTCACAGCTTCTTTGATAAAAACTGAAGATGGAGCCCCTTTCCACTTCGGATCAGAGTCTGGAAATATCTGCCCTATATCAGGAAGCCCTAAAGCTCCCAGAATTGCATCCACAACACAATGAAGCAGCACATCCCCTGCAACACATTAATCCCTATATAGTTAGAATTAAAAGCAAATTGTGGAAAATTCAAACAAAAAATACAACCAAGAAATACAGAATCCAAGATAAAATATGTTAGGGAAAACAAAGAAATTTTATAAATTAAGACTATCCAAATGCAAGAAATTAAAGAAATAAAAAGTGTGGTGTTGACGTGGAAAGGAAAATAAATAGGAAAATACATATATTTAGTAGGAAAACGGGAAAAGGGAAATGAGAAAAATACCATCAGAATGAGCCTCACAACCTCTATCATGAGGAATATCAATCCCACCAATGATCAAAGGGTAGCCAGGCTCCAAGCGATGAAGGTCGAAGCCATGACCCACTCTAAACGGCAAAGACTTGGAAGGTTTAGTGGAAGTGGCCGGTCCATCGAATGCAACTGAAGTAGCAGCTGGTGAAATTGAAGCTCGAAGAGCAACAGCTGAAGAAGATGAAGATGGTGCGAGTTTACTATGATGTCCGGCGGGCGAGATACGAGGATTAGGCAACAAAATGGACTTGTTTGAAATCGCTGTGGAGGTGGGTTTTGCTGGAATCGGTGAACAACTGTAAAAGTTAATGGCCATAGCCGTTGAAATCTTTGTTTTAGCAAAGAAGGGGCTATGTTTTTCGTGGGGCAGTTTCAGTTTCTTTGTTGACTCGGTTTCGTGGGTTTCGTGTTTTTTTTTTTTTATTATTATTATTATTATTTGTGGACATAAAATTTTCCCTTTTTTCTTTTTTTCTTTTTTAATACGCATAGTTACTAGTGGCATATAATTGCAGGAACCAAACAATTTCACTCACTGTTTCAAGTTTCAACTGGTCTGCTGGGATTAATAACTCCATTTAATGGCAATTTCCAATGTTTGATCAATGATTCATATTAGCTTAAACATGGCCACTGCAATCCACTTACTATATGAACAGGGTCCCAAATTCTCAAGTAACTGTTAAAAGGCGTTTTTTCAGAGAGTTGCTTGGGGCAGTCGATGCCAAACTTGAGACTTGAGAGGCCTAACATTCCCAATTTTGAAACTCCACAAATAAATGACCCTTTACTTCCTGAAACATGAATGGTTATCTTAAAGTCTCCACCTCGTGGAATATTCTGCCAGCCTCTAACATTTATTCCGTAGAGGATGCGTCTACCTCTACACGGTGTTTTAAATCTCAATTGATTCCTAAAAGTTGTTCTTCGAATCTCATCTTTGGGCTCCAGCACTGAGTTAATCAGGTCAGGACCACAACTATTTATTTGCCTGGACCACAAGGAAAAGAGAATTTGAGGGTTGGAACGAATGTATAACACGAATTCTAGAATTCTTGGAACGAAAGTATAAACACAAGATCCTTTTTTGGCTCTCTCTTTAGCTCTATGTCTCTTATCTCTAGGAGGTCTTCCTCCACTAGCAGGTATTTTCGGAAAACTCCATTTATTCTGGTGTGGATGGCAGGCAGGCCTATATTTCTTGGTTTCAATAGGACTCCTTACGAGCGTTGTTTCTATCTACTATTATCTAAAAATAATCAAGTTATTAATGACTGGACGAAACCAAGAAATAACCCCTTACGTGCGACATTATAGAAGATTCTTTGCCTGGACCACAAGGAAAACCTTCAATTTATATAATTGTAACAGGCAAAAACAACTTCATAAAGAGGCTCAGCAAACCAGACAAAACAAATGCATATGATTCCAGTTAAAAAATGCAGTTCCAGGAGCCCCAAGTAATATGTTCAAACCTGTGATTACCTAGACATGCACTTGTGCACATCATTTTAAGATGAGATATTGAATACTTAAAATGAACATACAAGGATTTAGCATTTCAGCAATTCAGCCATGCCACATGGAATGAATATCAAGAAGAGAATGTAGAACTAAACATAGCGCTTCTTGTTATTGTCATAACCCAGCAATAGGTTTGATTTGTACACACAAAATATACAAATATACAAGTATGGCATCCCGGTTTACAACAATGGGGTAAGCAACTTTCCTCGCAGTTTCTAAAACACACATTTCATATGAGAAGATACATTTACATGTGCACCAAAGAAAAGAAGGAAAATCTCATTATGACTATTAGGTAGAAGCCCTAGGCTGCTTGCATCCATGCTCTGGTATTAGATGTTCAGTGGCAGGTCTCTTCGGTCCCAACTGCTACAAGAAAAGCAGTAAGAAACTAAATGAAATATACACACACCTGCTCTCAAAGCGAATGCATGTGTCTGTGAATTTCTATCAGTGACTGAATTATTTGTATGCTCATAACATGTAAAAACATAAATGAGTTACCAACCTTCTCCTCAGCACGCTGATAGAAATTTCTAATAAGTATATTTTTGGCCTCAGTAGTTATAACTGTCAAAAGTGTTTGAGAGGTCAGTTACATATAAAAATGTTCAAAGGTCAATTAAAAAATATATTCATAATAAAAAGTCTAGAATTTAAGTCAATGAGCTGTGGCACTCTGCACCAGAATGAAATTTCAGTCAGTAGTGCCTTTGTATCAGTAGCACAGGTAGTTCAGAACACACATACAAATAAGATCCTCAACATTTTCATTCCAATTGATAAACTTCAAACAACTATTTCAATCATGTATGCAATCAATGATTATATTCTGATTAGAATTCTCTATTTTTTTCAATATCAAATCAAAATTGAGAGAAGATGGAAAATTCCAGATGAGTAATCTATGACATCTAGATTACTGCAGAAAGAAACAAAGAACTAAACAAACAAGGTTAAGCAATTCCACCATTTCAGAGGAAGATAATAAAAAGTATATAACAATAGCAGCAGTGGCATGCATCAAGTGCCGCATAAAAATCAATTTCTCAATCCATAACCATTTATTTGAAGCCCATTTGTCAAGACAATACCATTTTTCAAGCAAAATTATATCATCTCAAGTTCTAATTCAGGCATCACAACATACTTTTCCAGCACTCGGTGCTCTCAAACACAAGTCAACATTCAAAATCCTAGAAGGTATCCTAGCCAAAAAATTATCACAGTATATGAAACACATTATAAAATATATTATCACTATGTGGATAAAGCCTGAAAGAATTTACCAACCAAAGGCTACCTTCCTATTGTTACTGCAGCCAGTTTTAAGCGCCAAGAATATCTCACTTTCACTCAAACAAATATTGTTTCATAAGTAAATACAAGGAGATAGAAATATCTGTTCAATACCTTGATCAGGAGGTGGAAGAGTCCGGCTATGAGTAGGGCGGTAGATGGCAGGTACCATTTTCTAGCCAAAAAAGAAAAGGTTAGACTATAAAAGATAAGTGCAATCAATTCTTAACAAGACTGAAAAATAAGGAGAAGCATTTTATGCTCCTAAAATCTTCAAGCAAAGTTACAAACCATACAAGTGAAGTCAGTGTAATTTTGTTATAAACTGTTTATTTAAAAACATAGAAGAGCTCAATATGAACTCCATGCAATAGCATAGATGTCACATGCTAAAATAGCTCAAAAGGATAAAAGGATAGGTGAAAATTGTTCTATACCATTTGGACCTTTCAACTATTCTAGGCTTAATCAGAAACGTTATAGCAGTTAAGGAAGGAACCACTGTAAACTATTGAAACAAAAATAGATCACAAATACATATATCAACATGTCTAAGTATATGTATGCACACATAGAAGCAAACTCTTAACTTCCGTCTTCGCTAGAAAACATAGAACTTCGTGACCATTGTTAAGAACCAGTCCTAAGAACTAAAACTACCATGTACACAGCAAGATCTAGAAAGCTTCTAAAGCATAAACTTAAAGTCTTAGTAGTTTTTGAAGCAGAAAGTGACATGCAATGGGCAAAATCTCATGCTCACGAAGAATAGTTACAACCCATTTTAAGGAAACTCCCTTCATTATCCCGTGCAAGAAAGCATTTCCAGGCTAATACTTGTGTTGTATAAAGATCTTAGTCATTTTGGCAAACAGATAATAACTGGTATTAACATTACACAGATGCCTCACATAGAAACATCACCATATTACACTCCATTCAATCACATTAATCAACATCCTAACAATAAATGTATCTTGCAATGCAAACAATAAATCACTGCAGTCTAATAATACCAGAGGTAGAATTCCATGAATCATTTAAACCCTACAAATCAGGAAGCAAAATATTCATTTGTAACCACAAACAACTTTATCCAAAAAGCAACTAACTGATTACATGGACTACAGTATTAAGGTCCACATTTTAAAAAATTACTGACAAAAAAAAAACCACTAAACAAAGTACACCATATCTGGGAAAACCCATAATCCTAATCATAAAAATGAAACAGTTTTCCACTACTCATCTAAACTAAATATGGTGATTTATTGCAATATCAAGAAAGCTGAAACAAACAACTTATTTTCAGATCAAACCCAGAAATAAAATTCGTTTGTTATGTGTTTTAGCAAATGGGGTTGGGTTGAAAAGGATTGTGGGGATACTTACAGACGGATTAGAAGGATCCGAGGGACGAAGTTGGCTGAAGTTGTGGGGGTCAAATGACGGCAGGTCACCAAGCATAGACCCCATTGGAAAGGAAAAATGCTGGTTTTCTGGCCTGCACCCAAAAAATCTCTGGAGACTAGAGAGAAAATGAGAGAGAAACCACAACAATGCCTGCCCTGGTTCTAGAATCAGCCTTATTTGTGCTAGTGGTGGATGATTAATCGGTAAATTGATGATTAAAACTTTATGTAATACAGGAATAGCTTAAGCACCTAATAAGGTGGATTCGCTTTGATAATTTGGAATGGAATTAATTAAAGTATGTTATTTTATTTTGTTTTATTAATTGAATTTAATATGTTAATTTTAAAATTTTATTGAATTAATTAAATTCAATTGATTTAGTTAATTTTTTATTAATAATAAATATATTTAAATTATATTATATTTTAAAATTTAAAATTTTTTATATTTAAAATAAATTAAATAAAATTATTCAATAAAATATAAAAAATACAAAAATATTAAATTAAAAATTTTAATAATTTTTAAATTAAAATAATTTATTTAATGTGTTTAAATTTTATATTTCAATTTTATTATTTTCAATTATAATTTTGATTAATTTAATTTTAAAAATAAATTAATTAAAAATCAAAATTTTTAAAAATTATTTTTAATAATCAATCAAAATTAATTCAATTACAATTAATTAATTAAATCAATATAATTAAAATTGAATTTTGAACATCTCATTTATTATGGTTTGTGCCCTGTTTTGTTTGTACCACTCCATTCCATTGCTTAAGTGGAAAAAATGTGGATGTCTTATCTATTAGTGTTTGTGTGTGTGTGTATTTTTACTTATCTTCTCAAAATGGAAAAATAATTACTAGCCTAACCTTTTTTTTTTTTTGTATTTTTCCTTAGTTTTTTAAAGTTAAATTTCTTCTCATTTTGTAAATATAAAAACTTGTGGATTTCAATTTTCAAATTCATTTGTGTTTTATGTGAGTGTGAAATTTTGAAGTCCCATTTTAAATTGTTAAAAATTATATACATTACTATCAAAATTTCTTATTTAAAAAAAAATTACACTATTATGTTTATAATTACATGTTTAAAATTTGTAATGATAATTATTAAAAATTAAGGAAAGAAAATAAGCAAGTGGCAATTTATAATGTGTAGGCACCAAGCAATATTATATGGTATAGTGGAATTTTACAATAAGGTAGCATGTAATATTTTTTAAAATACGTGTTGTTATTATATTTTTAATGATAATTATAAAATATACACAATTTAATTTTAAATTGATATTGATAGATTTTACATCCTTTAATATTATAAAAATTCAAATTGTGTGAAATCAAGAAATCTCAAATTAAAAGAAAATCTTAATTGTAAAAGTGAAAATTTTTACCAAAATAAATTAAATTTGAAAAAATATAATTAATGTTAAGCATTAATATAAAAATATATTTTTTAATCCAAAGACATGCAAACCAATAAATCATAATTATAAAAAATAAAAATAAGAGATATTTTTTAAAAAATTAATCACCGTCTATTATATAATTTACTTAAAAAAATTGGTTGAGAAACTCTTAGTTGCCAAATAAAATAATATGGATCTATATCTCATTAATTTTTAATTAAAATACGAAAAAAGTATAATTAGTTTTGAATAAAGATATTTTGCCTAGTCTCCACAGTCCACAGAACAGCCGCTGCTGAAAAACGTCGCCGTTTCTAGCGGTAGGTGAAAAACCAACCGTTAGAAACGCATGTCAAAAGTGGAAACTGAATAAGCGCTTTACGACCATCAGATCAGTCAAACATCACAACTGAATAAAGGGCACCTACACTCCAATTCTACAACCTATTCACAACTTAATAAACTACCCACCGCTAGATCACCGCGCGTCCACCGAACTTCAAAACCCTCGATGCACCGCATATCCCCTCACTTCCACCTAGGCTTTTGTGTTAGAGCTCCCGCTCCGACATTTTCTTTCTCACTTCTCAACCTTCAAAAAACACGGCTCAGAATCGTCGACGGCGTAGCAGAGAGGAAGAAAAAGAAGAATCAAACATGGCTGCACCCGAATCTCCTCTCTGCTACGTCGGCATCGCTCGCCAATCTGCTGCTTTTCGCCTCATGAAGCAAATGGTACGTATCCGTATGTACGTATATTTTGTATATATAAGCATATTTGTAATGTGTATTTATTTATTGTTTGGATGGCCCGGTTAGGGATGGGAAGAAGGAGAAGGGCTTGGGAAAGATAAACAAGGGATCAAAAGTTACGTTAGAGTTAAAAACAAACAGGACACTAATGGTTCGTTTCTCTTTGCTTTCTTTTAAATTTTTTTTTTTTATTGATCTGTTAAGGTAATTGTTTGCCTTTTTTAAGTTATTTTTTAAAAAAATTATAGATATTGGTTTGCTTATAATAGGAAGAAATGATGAAAAATATTTGAAAAATGGATTTTTATTTTTGAAAAATATGGAGCAGGTGTTGGATTAGATAAGCCGAATCCATGGGCCTTCGATACAGCTCAGTTTGATAGTATTCTCAAAAGATTGAAAGTGGTGCGTATTGCATTATTTTTTACTGAATTTGATTGGCTAGAACAGTGTTGATTTGATACAAAGCTCATTTTTGTTTTGTTTGTTTTCTTTTGATATTTTAGCAGCAAGCGGTGCAAACTAATGATGAAGGTATGATTGATGCCAAAAGAAAATTTCATCTCATATTTATACTTTATAGGATTGAGAAGTGATTTTATTTTACTAAACAGCCGACAAGAATGAAAATCAAGTAGAAACCAAGACCAATGTGTCTAATGACACTGAAGAACAAGTTTTGAAGGCTACCCGACCACAGGGAAGGTTGGTGCATTTATTCTTTCTTTTTTTTTGTTACCATGTTTTTATTGATAGTGGATTATTGCCAATTAATTTAATTAATGCTTGATGCTAATTATACTTGTTTTTTACTTTGTTTGGTTCTTAGATATAAGAGAAGAGAAAGAGGGAAGCTTGTGGATGCATATTCTTCAAAGGATCTTGAAGGAATTCTTGTAAGCTCTAAACCTTCATTATGTCCTTTCACCTTTGTCTTCTTCAAAGTTATTTGTACGATTAAAAATATTTGTTTGAAGCTGTGCCAATCATGCCCTTTTGATGCATATTTCAGTATGTGATATTTGTTTTCCTCTAGTGTTATTTTCAAGATACAAAACAATTCTATTATTACAGCAGATCAAACTGTAACATGTTATGAGTTTGGTTTGAAATGTTTTCACTTGTCACTGATTATTCAAATTTGATGTGTTAATAATGTCTGACTTAATAAGACTCTCTTGGTATATAAATACATGAGAGCTCAAGGAAAAGTAAATCTTGAATATTGTCTTCTTGGATGTGGTTGTAAGTCAAACTGTCAGTATAATCGTATATACTTGATCTATCTGTTCATTGTTTCATAGTAGCACAAGTCACTCAACTTTTTGAACAAATTCTAGATGCCTTTACTTGAGTTAGTAAGGCAGAAACACAAAGCACTTTTGAAACATAGTGATTTAGAAATAAATAGTTCTTATGTTTTGGTTAAAGGCTAAATGATCTTACAACATCATATAGAAGTTGAAATAGTCATTCTAAAGTAGTTTTCATGTTTTGTTTGATAGAATTGCCAAATTCCTTTTTAGATGGATCTTTTTCCCTCGTAATTAGTATTTGATTTGATGCATCTTTAACATTTACTAGTATTTTTTGTTTAAACAATCACTGTATATTTACCCATGCATGCTTTGCAATAGGCCAAAAAGGTTGAGGAGTCATCACTGGCAAATCCTGATGTGGGTGGTGAAATTGAGTTGATAGAGACGACTGAAAGTCAGGATTTTACCACTGAAGGTAATACTACTAGCAGATTGATGAAAGACATTGATAGTAACTCTAGTTCATACTCAAAACTTGGGGTGTATTCTTGTAGTAAGGTGTATTTTCCGTTCCATAATATTAGCAGTGGAGTCTTTATAGTCCATGCAGTAATATTGACGGTGGAAACCCGGACTGGACTTTTATTTAGATTTTTTCCCCTCAAGAGTATGTTATCATGCACTTGAAGACCTGTTATAGTCTTTTGCTGGCAAAAGATATTCTTGGCCTCCTTCTGTATCTTGCTTGCTTTTTGCTGGTGGCAGCTGTCTGATGTTGATCATTTCTGTTTCTGAGATAACTTGGCTCTTTGACACAGGGAACAAAGTTGAAAGTGTTTCCCCAGAATGGTGGGGCCATAAATATGGATTTGTTTCTGGAGGTTTCCTGGGAGAATCTACCAGAAAGAAATCAATCAAAGCTGGAAATTCTAAAAATTTAACTGAGAGAACTGTATTTTTTGAAGATGACCAGGAGAATCTGTACAAACTTGCACAAGTATGTCGCTTCACCATTCAAATATTTTTGCATGAAAACCATGCGAAGGTTATTTGTACAATGAAGAGAAGAATTATAATTTTTCTTTTAATTTAACCTTTCAGCTGAAGATGAAACACTAAAAGTCTTGTGAATAAGTGGTATTTTAATTGATGATTTTGCATGCTTTTGTTGTATGTGAATTCTAGTAGCATGTTTTGGATGGGGAGACTAAAGGAGCTGAGCACGTTAGATAAGTAATATATGTCTTGTATTACAAAATTTCAGGATAATGCCACAACTGGAAAGCAAGGTCTGGGTATTAAAGTTCAACCAAAGAAAATAGCTGGAGTTCGGTTTTTGGGGAGAAAGACGTCATTTAGTGATAGTGATAGTGAGGATTTTGATGATGTTGGTCCTCCAGCAAAACGAATGCGTGAGAATGCACTAGATATGGAGAAAGCTGATGAACCAAAAGTGAAGTTGAAAAAGCTATGTAAACAGCTTCTTTGGCAGGTACTTGATATAAAATGCAAGCTGTTTAAAATTGTGGTGCAATTTTATCTCTAATTAATAGTTATCTGCCTACTTCAGGTACCCGGAGAGTCATTAAAACTAAATCGGCTGAAAATTCTTATTGATGAACAATCATCCTCAGTTTTTTCCAACTTTTCTTCAAAGAAAGATGTTCTTGCCTACTTGAAACGAAAGGTATGCTTTGTCTGAGTCCATCTAACAGTACTTTTTAATACTTTGTGAAATGACTTTCATTTTTGTTGAAGAAAATGGCTTCATCTCTTCATTGCTTTGTGGTTCTGAATTCTGATATTTCTTGCTTTTGGCCACAGCTTGAAGGCAGTAGCAAGTTTTCTGTGGAGCGGAAGCGAGTGAGTCTTACATCACAGAGCGGCTAAATTAGGTTTTGATACAATTCTGATATTCTTTTTGCGTGTGTATATGCTGAGACTGAATTAGTGCATTTTTATACATTTTGCGTTCATATTGTTCTTGTAGTAATTCAGTTTTCTTCTCTTTTGATATTTAGGCTTCATTGGTATGGTTTGATCAGTTTAATATTTTCATTAGAATTTAGAGATACGAAAGTTGTAAGGATGACAACAACCATGTTTGCCGTACCAAAAAATTTGATAGAAGTGGCCAAAGCATTGGATGTTTATGCGAATATTATCCCAGAGATTTCGAGGACTATCATTTAATGAAGTGTTAATGATTTATCAATGTTTACTCGTTTCACAGTTGCCACAGGTATGTTCTCTTCAAGCAGTTATATCTTGGTACTGTTTCTAAGCTTTATTGCTTTGTAAATGTAAAGTCTGAACCCAACAATGTTATCCACATGCTTGCATCGAAGATTAGACAATGCTAACTGTTATCAAATGTAATTGGCTTGTACAATTTTCTTTGCTAAATACTTACCCAAATAATCATATCCATGAAAATATAGAGCTTCGATCTCAGCTCTCTGACCACCCTGCATCATTAATGCCAACTCTTCCCTGTAATGCTCCTGTGGAACACCATTTAAATCTTAAAATAGGGAGATACGGATACTGGGTTATCCACCAACTTCCTAGAAGGATATTGGGAACATGAAGTAGAGATGGATGAAGGGTATAGCACCTGCAAGATTTGTGAGGAAATCAAGCTTTTAGCAATTTGAAGGTCCCGTGGCTTTAGTGGAGCTAAAGATTGGTCAGGTATCAGTTTTAGATCATCACCACGCAATCCCAGCCACTTCACGTTGCAAGCTGAATGGTGCATGAAAAATAATTTTAGTTTACATCCTAAACAAGAAGAAAACGGGTGCAAATTGGCGTGACTTCAAGAAATTACCATATCTATATGCCTCTAGGCCCATCCCTATGCTTCCAAACTTGTAGGTACACAATATAGCCAATCCGGCTGGATTCCTATAAAGGTTCTAGTTAGCGTCTATGGTGCACAACTATTGACTATGCTCAGTCGAGCTCGAGAATGAAGAATCCTAGTGCCAGTAAGGTGATAAGTGTAAGGGGCAAAGACATAAGTGTCATCTCAAAGTAAAGAAAGTTGTGCTGAAACCAGTTTAATATTTTTAAATTGTACCATCACATAGTGAAAAAAAGAAGTCCTTGGTATTGACAGGAGATCCATACCAGTCAACCAGTGCTAAAATTGGCAAATCTGGAAAAGCCCGACTCATTCGGTGAAGAAGAAATCTATAGGTATTGAGGGTCGTGATTACAATGACGCATCCAAATGACAACAGGCTTAAGCTACAAAAAAAACAATTATAGTTACCTTGTGGCTATATCTGGGTAACCTTTTGCTGTGAGTAGAATGCTTGGAATCTGGTTAAATACATTATCCTCTGCCAATCGCTGGAATATTGCATGCTTCAAAACAGAATCATGCCGGATGGTGTGTAATTGGATGTAGAAATCATAAATTAATTAGTGATTTCTGATTGGATTCCAATGAAGATCAAGAAATCACCTTTTCTACCACTATTATATAGCGTGCATCTGTCTTCAAGCTCAAGCTCTCCAACAATTTCAGATCACCAGAAATTGCATATCCAGAAGACCCACAAGCAGAACAATCAACAACCTCTTGGTTTGGCTCCTGTCACATGGTCCGTAAGTGAAAAAAAACACAAGGAATCACCCACATGTGCATGTTCATTATTACATTATTGGAAAACAGAAGAGGCGAGTGGCCTGTGAAATTTCATCAATTCTTTCCTGAACAAGATTAATGATATTATCAATTCGATAAAACATAACAGGAAAGAGAATTGAAGTGCCTGAAGCAAGATACGCCCAGCAACAAGTCCTCTGCTAGATGCCATGATTCCAAGACTGTAACGACTGCACCGAAGCAATGCTACGACATCTTTGGCACAAAGTTCTCAATTATTTCAACCATTAAAATGATAATAAAAACCCTTATAGTGAACACAAACCATCTTCCAAAATGATTAATATTACTATAAATGAATCAGAACTTAGAGAAGTAACCTTGGATTGTCCTATTGACCTGCAATTGAGAAGAGAAGTAATCTGGTGAATCACAAAGCAACTTGTAAAAGAGTTCCCTCTGCGTAACTCGCTTCTCTTGAATCAGAATCTCAAAGCACATCTCCATAACCTTCCATACTTCAATTTTTTTTAGGTATAAAATCAAGAACCAATTCAATTTAGAACAAAAAGGATAAAAAAAAGGGGGTAAAAGTTAAAACCATTACAAAAGAAAATACCCCTAATAAAAGCCTTAGCAGCGTTGGCTCTTATCAATGATCTTGTACAAAAGGAGTGAGACAGAAAAAGCCACGAAACATCAGTCAAGATGCTTTCACTCACTCTGCTATTACTCGACGTCCTATTGATCTATATCATAATTGGAAAAAAAAGAAAACTACTCAGAAAATATTTCCTCAAATTTCCGGGCAACCAAACGAATAGAAAGTTTTAATTTACCAGAGGGAGATCGGAGATTGCGGGATCAGGAGAGTTCAAGATCTTGAGGAAATTGAGGACGGCTACTTGGATCCTGGCTCGAACCTGAAAGAGAGATTTTCAATTTTTTATTTTATTTTTATTTTTGATACAAACGAAAGAGGCAGAAAACAATGATTGATGGATCATCAATGATCGCTGAAGAACAATTACCTCTTGAGGAGGAAGGATATCGGCGTAACAGAGCTGTTGATCGGAGAAGAATTTCATGGAGCATTTGCAGAGATCGTCCATTGTTTTGTTGATTCCGTCTTCCGAGTTAGTGGCGCGAAATGATATTGTATTTTTGAATTTCCATGAGTCTGTTAAAACTGTCCGCTTAAAATCGGGCTCGTTAACATTGAAGGCCTACTATACTTGGGCTTCTAGGGTTTTGAGCTTCAAACTCTTCAATCGGGCTTCGTCTCACACTCTGCAACTCTTCTTTTTTTTTAATTCTTTGAAAAATAAATTACAAAAATTATATAATATATTTTTTAAAATTATAATCAAAATCAAATATTACATTCTCAAACAAATTAAAATTATTGAACCAAATCAACGCATAATAAGGCTTAAAACCTCAAGATTCTAGAACATTCTCTTTGCTACTAAACCAAAATTTTATTGGCAAAATTTATATTATATATTATTTTTCCATTCCCTCAACCATTCTTTTTTTATAGAAATTTTGAGCCATTGTTAAAGATTTATAATTTTTAAAAAATTGATGAGTTGTAACTTTTATTGTGAAGCTTTTTTCTATTATTTTATTAAAAGGAGTCAAATTGAAAACTTTTAATTAGTACTTCCTTAAAAAAAAAAAAAAATCTATAACTTTTAAGGATTTACTACAGTTTCAATGTCACATGTGTTTGTTATATGGTCAAACTAATGTACAATCAAATTAATTTAGACTTTGTTTGATAAACGTTTTAATTTTTTGTTTTTGTTTGTTTCGAAAAAAGGAATGAAAAGAAAAAAAAAAAAGTAAAACAGTAAAAAAGTAAAATTTTGACTAGAAGCTAAAGACAAATAATAAAAGGTAAAAAAAAAAAAGCGTTCATCAAATGCAGTCCTATTATATATCTTTTCCTTCTTAAAAGATTATGATTTTGTTTCAAAAATATTCAAAAATAATAATAATGTATTAACGTTTAAAAAAATTAAATCAAGTATTTTTTTGGTCACTTGAATCATTAGTATTGTTATTTTGATTAAAAATAAAGTTACGTCGAATTCGATTTAATTTAATTAATTTAAATAATTATTTTTTAAATATAATATTAATAATTTTAAATTTTAATATTTATAAATTTTTAATTTTCAAATTACAAATTTCTTTACGGAAAAAAAGAAAGATAAATTCCTAGTAAAGACCAGCACTAAATGCGTGCCGGAACAGGTTAGAGAGGAACTAAAAATATGTTGAAAATTAGTAAGTCCAAAGTGCCGAAATTCCCAGATACTTACCTCATTTATAGAAAAACAAAACAAAAAACAAAATCTTAGTACTATAAAACATTAATAAAACACTATTTTTTATGACTTTTGTTACGTTAATTTCTCTTCAAATGTCGGTTACCAATTTGCCATATGACCTTTTCATTCTTCAAACTTGGCCGGTGAAAAGGAAAAATTCATGATCAGTCCATTATTTTATATTATTTATATCGTATTATTACGTACTAGAAGGAATATAGCCAGCAGGAAATGTTGAACGAAACCAGACCAACAAGACTTTGGGATATCATCCGGTTTGGTGTATTCAGTTTAGATTGCAAGAATTTTCGCCCTCCTTTCCGCGTGGTGCAGTCCCCAAAGACCAAAACAAACAGGTTTCAAGATTTTTCATTTTTCAAACTTTTGTAGGTTTATAGCTCCCATTATGATTGCTAGGAAAATGATGCGGAAGCCCAAATTGGAGTTTGAAGTAATTGACAAAAGTGACCAAAAAAAAAAAAATTCTCATGGGTGGGTTTAGTAGCATTTTTTGTGGTCCAAAAAAGCTCCATTCTTTTGAGTTTTTCCTTAGCTTACGTAATGATAACTTTCTTTTTTTTTTTTTTTTTTTCGATAGCCAAATACCCGCAAGCCATCACCCCGCACTGCTGTGCTCAACCCTATGTGCAGAATCTTTTGCAGGCTGCAAATGGAGTGCTAAGAGAAGTGTTTGCACTTTGCAAGTTGCAGACAGCTACCGATCATATGTTCCAAATGTAGTTTCTTTCCTTGACTTTGAATTTGTTTCGCCTGGACCCTAGCTTTGGATGATCGAGAATTGGCAGGATAAGCTGATGAATTCCATGAACAGGACCTCCATGGACCATGCAAAGAGAGAATGTTAAAAGACAAGCCTGTGGTTTCATATGTATATGAGGTTGGGGACCAATAATGGCAATGCCATATATGCAAACTGGCAACATATGGGGTTTGTGACATAGCCATACCCTATTTCTTCATTCAAATTCAAGCATATTAATTATAAATTTTCATGTTTGGGTACCTCTATTTCTTTGGTAAAATTTCTGGCAAAGTTTGTTACTCAATTATAAAAATATTTCCGCCTAAAATTTTATCTTCCAACCATCTTATTAGATAAGTTCAAGTTGCTCAAGAGGAAAGGGACAGGTCTATCAGGGTTCACAACATATATTTATACAGTACATCCACAATTTCCAAATAATTATTTGTCACAGATGAAATCATAGAAAACTGCTTTGGCAGTGAGCAATATGCAGCAGCAGTTTTGTTTCCCCTCTTTTGTTGAAATAAAACTTTAATTCCATGATAATTTATTCAGCTCAGAGAGAAATTGTATTTGTTAAAGTTTTGTATGTTAAATATATGATTTTACGTGGTTTTATATTTAAGTTGAAATTTTTTATTTATTATCAATTGATTTTAAATTAAAAATTTAACATATATTTATTAGAGTTTAAATTCTGTTATAATATTTTATCTTATTATTTTTAAGTTAATTACATGATTGGTTTATATATCTGGTTACACGTTATAAAGACTTATTTTTGTCATGTAATAAGATTTATTTTTGTCTCTTTTTACATATGATAGAGATTTTTTAAAATGATGTTATTTTATTTTTAAAAATCTATTAATCTAATATAATTTCATATTTATTAAATATTTTATGTGATTTTATATTTAAATTTGACCTTTTCAATCTTATATTAAAATTAATTTTAAATTAATGTTGACAGTATTCAAATTAAAATTCCTTAAATAGCCAAAAAAACTTTTTCTTTTCACACCGACGTCGTTATTAGCTACTGAAGTCTCCGAACGCCAAGGATGGACAGCTAACTGGTAAAAATTTTCAGAAGTGAAAAGTGCTAAAATGCTGAATAAATGAGCTTTAAACAGCTATAACCCCTTTGACTTTTGAAAAGTCAACTTGGTGGAAATGCAAAACCAGCCTTATCGAATTGCTGCTTAATTTCCCAGTAAAAAAATCTCTCTTTCTTACCAATGTATATATAGACAAAGGCCTGATTTTAGATTTTCTCACATATCTCTTCATTACAATTAATCTCTGACAGGTCTCAAGTCAGCGCCACAGCTCTTTGTTATCTTCTCTCCTAGTGTTCCTTCTGTATATCTCTCCTTTCTTCATAGAACATAAATAATCGTCGATGAGTGAATTCTACATGGAGAAGTGGGATTTGCAAGCAGTAGTTGGAGGAAGCAGCAATGATGCGTGTATCTCCGATATTATGGAAAACCCACAATTCAGTTTTGAATGTCCTTGGAGTTCTCAACAGGAAGATCTTACGAGTTTCCCAGAAATTTTTGAAACGAACCCTCAAGTTTTGGATGAGTTGGAGGAAATTTACAAGCCTTTCTATCCCGAGTTAAATCCATATTCCACACAAACCATCGTTACCAGCTCCCTACCTGTCCCCCAGGATGTGGAAGAACCAGAGAAACAAAAAAAGCGGCAATCTATTTCTGATTCTGCTATGTCTGGTACAAATAAACATTCAGCCAAACCTAAAAGATCCAGGTTTGTATTCGTGCTTATGTTTAAAAATAAAGAATTTGATTATTGGAAACTCAAAGTTATTGTAATTTATTAAACAATTGATGTTGAAAACCTCACATATTTCAGCCGGAAGAATCAGCAAAATAGAGTAGTGCAGCATGTAACAGCTGACGGTCTTCACTCGGATACATGGGCTTGGCGAAAATATGGACAAAAACCCATCAAGGGGTCACCGTATCCAAGGTGAAAATCTCTCTCTCCATTGTCATTTTTGTTTTGGTGTATCAAGCTAGAGAGTTTGAAGGGTAGTTTTCTTCATGACATTGAATAAACTTGTTGCTTAGTTGGTTGAATGAAAAAACACAGGAGCTATTATAGGTGCAGCAGCTCAAAAGGATGCTTGGCAAGAAAGCAAGTGGAGCGTAGCAGTTCGGATCCTCGCATTTTTATTATCACCTACACCGCTGAGCACGGCCATGACCACCCAACTCGTCGAAACTCGCTTGCTGGAAGCACTCGCAACAACTCATCAACACTACCCAAACTTCTTGCCAACAACAATGAACCCCATGAGGCAGCAGGAACAACTCCAACAACCACTGAAGATGAGGCTGTGCAACAAGAGAGCGTAAAGATGGAGGAATATTTACAAATGCTTGAAGATGGTGATCACGGGGACAAAATTCTCACGCCAGACATCATGTTGAGTGACGAATTAGTTCAAAGCTCAGAGAATTTTGAGGGTCTCTTTCTGGACCAATTTCCCGAGTTGTCTTATGAATTATGGTCCATGAATGAATCTGCAACCTTAACCGGCGGTTGGTGAATATTAGTCTTAGCCTCTTAGGTAGCTAGACCAGACCAGGCACAAGCCATGCTGCAACCAAATTGCACTTCTCTAAGAGGCACAGTCGTCTTTTGTTTTTTGTTATATTTCGTTTTCATATAGCCTTTCCTTTTTCCTCTTTCTGCTTCTGTAATCCATCTTACAAGAAGTAATTGCATATATCATAGTGATAATCGATTAATATATATATATATATATATATATATATTAACAGAAAAGAATTTGTTTTTTGTTGCACTAAAACAATGAAATTTATACAAAAGATTTATTGTTGACAATAAATAAATGGAAGTAATTACCATAAAAAAATTGGATTACATTTAGAATCCATGCCACCAACAAAGCAACCATACGTTTAGCGCACAAGACACGGCTACATAGTACTTGTATTGTTCTTTCTAAGGTTTGATTTTGAATATCAATATACTTCTAATATTTCTTAAAGTATAAGAGTTTTTCATTGATTAAATCTTTACTAGTTACCCACACCATCATCTTTTTCATTACAAAATGAAAATAGAGTGTAACTTAGTACATTTATGAGGCTAAAAAAATGCATGAGATTTTGAATTACAAGTTAGACAAACTAAAAAAAAAGAACCTCAAATTTTGCTGAATTAGGTTCCAGAGAAGAGGTACCCAAAATTTGAAAAATAGTTTGATAGTTTAAAAAGTTTTTTGAATGACATTAATATTTAGGGTTCAATTAAAATTTTGATTGAGGAATTTTAGCGTATAAAAAAATAAATTTTATGATTGAACCCGTTGAATCAAGTTTTCAAATAAAATTTTTTAAACAAAACTAGAAAAATATTGAACAATGTAATAAACAAGACAAAGAAAAATAAAAAGAGAGCAAGCACATTATTGAATACATATATAGTAAATGTTGAATGACAAGAAAGTCAAGTTGACAAAGTTTTCCAAATGCTTATAAGATTAATCTCGATTAATATTTTATTATGAATATGTCCAATTAAGATCCAACCAACTTGCATTTCACGGAATTCTTTTGTTTAGGTGCAAAAAATGCGACAAACCCGCGTGCCGCCGAACTGTAATGGAAAACGACAGTAAAATAATACAGTATATTTTGAACAAGATAAAGCTTTTCTCAGAGACCAAAAGCATGCTTTTATTTTGTCATCCACGGTTTATTCTATGATTCTATCACTGCAATCGTGGAAAATGATTGCTTTAATTCAATGAAGTAAATATCTTAATCTGGTATAAAATTTAAGATTTGTTTTATTGTTTTTGCTTATTTCTCCTATCACCTGCTACCCCTTAACAAATTATATATTCTAGTTTGTCATAATTCTAATTCAGGCTTTGACTAGTGAGAATAGATACAGCTGGCTTTGACTCTTTAATTTGTTGCTTAAGATTAGGTTTGAACTGGTCAGATCCTCGGAATTTTTGTGTACTGTGTAGAGTGGTATAGATATTCTTGCTTGTAAGTTTAAACTACTGAATCCCCATGACTGGAAATTCATGGGTTTCTATTAACCAGCAGCAGTTGCAGAGGCTCCTGCTTACTTTCATCGGGCAAAGCAGCCATTGCACCCACAGAAGCTGCATTAATGCAAGTTGTGGGTTCGGAATGAATGAGAGTAATCTGACATCAAATCATTGAAATAGTCATTTGAACCAGGACCACCGACAATGGCTCCGACATGTTGATTTGGATTTGGATTGTTAGAAGAAAGATAACTGGGGTAACCATCATTACACCCCACCTGGCTCGGGTGACCGCGGACGGGGATACAAGGGATAGAAGGAGAAAAAGGAAAATTGAAGAAAAGGAAGGAAACCAAGCCGAGCGGGAAGACTGAAGCCTGAAAAGTAGAGAGCAAGAGAGAGAGAGAGTGGTTTATATACATGGTTTAATGAGAAATGTGGAGAGTGGAATCACTTGATTATTAAGATTTCATGCCTACAATCAAATTATTAATCAATTTATCAAGAGAAGAGAAGAGTATCTGGAGAGGAAACGAAGATTCTAAAACAAGGATTAAATTGGCTTAAACCGTCATCTGGTTGGTCAAAATCAAACAGAAAAAACGGCAATATATGTGTAAGAAAATTGAATACAATGGGCAATTTAATTTTATGCTTTTGGATCCTCCACGCTGCTGAAAAACAATGTCACAACAAAGACGGAGCATATCAGTAACCACCACGTAAAAAAAATCTCATTAATTCAGCACTCTTATGTCATCAATAATACATGCACGATCTTCTGACCAAAATTGTTTGTACCAAACTTTGAAGCATTCAAGGGGCTACCTGAATATACATGGACCTTGTCTACCAGGAGAAAAATACATAGAATGTATGCATCCAATGCTGGACTGCTCAAGTTGGAATTTTCAAGGAAAAGTATTTCTTGCAGTTGCCAGCATGATTATAATGGGAAACTGCCTATCTCAAGGCCATGTCTTGTAAGCAGTACTTTACGTTCACCAATCCATTCGAGCCGGTAAGAAAGGTCAAGGTTGTGAATCAACAGTTTTAATCTGTCTGCATAACACAAAGTCCTAGCAGTCTCCTGCAGAAACGAAATAGCAAATGGTATTACACTTTGGAAGGAACAACCGCAAGAGCATTAATCCTATGGAAGTAAATCAAGTGTGGAGCCTATCATGTTCTCAATTGTCTTTTCCACCTTTCCTAAAAGCACATCCACGGCAGGGGAACAGGTACATAAAGACATCATTCAATAATGACTCAATACTCTTCTTTATTCTTCATCACACTAGAATTTTCCTTATATCGCCCTTCATCCTTATTTAAGTTTCATATTTATACCACACTATTTTCAAAAGTAGAAATTAAAAACCGTTAGTATTAACACGTCCTCGTATGAAGCATTTAAATTAATTGAATGAAAGGTAATAAATATCGTGGGTAAGACACTACTTGATAAAAGGGCTACTAATGGGGACAAAGAATTACCTGTGAATCGGCCTCCCCATCATGTCCCAATATGCTTCCCATTATGCTAGATCTTGAAGTGTCGGGCGAGAATCCCTCTCCTGGAGGAATGAATATCACTTTGGTGCAATGAACAGGAGCAAGATTCCGGCTCAGCTTCTCCCACCACACAGATCCCAGGGACCACCATCTGATCATCAGCCCATGTTCAGAGAAAGCTACCAACCCCTGCAAATAGTAGGATATTTTAAATGGTTGTAAAAACAGACACATCAGCACACCAAAGTTCACCCCCCCTAAAATGATAATAAACAAATGATAGAAAAGAGTAAAAGGAGAAGTGTGACTGCATAAAAACATTTCGAACATTTTTATAAAGGAATAGAAGCATAAAAAATTATTTAAAGATAATACCAAAGATGCAATGGCATTAGAAACCAGGACAAGAATTTGAATATCTGGTTATGGGGCCAATGGACTAATTAGATATACCTCTCCATCTGGAGAAAAGCTCAGAGCTGATATCACAGTAGTCACTGACGTTTCTGGTGCTCCTAAAAGCAGACTTGGCAGTCCAGGAGGTCCACTTGCATCCAAAACTTTGATTCTTGTCACGCTACAGAGAGGAACAAAAATACAGTACATTGAAGTTATTGTTAACTTCTTAGTTCATTCCTAATAGAAGAAATATGAAAGCTACTAAGATCAAAGAACATGTAGCAAGGAAGAGAACTGAAAAGACAGCAATAGAAGAACAGTTAACCAACAAAAAGAAAAACAAAGGACAAGATATTATTGTCACATAACCTTTGAATGCTACAGATAAATTCCTCACTAATCCAGATGAATAACGGAAAATAAACAAATCTCGAAAGCCCCAAATCCAGATGAATAGATCAGGGTAACTTAAAAACCATAATTACATTATTCTGTGTTTTTAGTACAATCATTTAGCTCTAAATGATGCAGAAGCCTCATGAAGAAGACGCCTGAACCTTAACTGGACACACAAAAAAAAGAAAAACAGACAGGCTATACTGAGAAACAATGCAATTCATATTTGATGGCATGAGTAATGCAAAGGCAACAATCATTCTATTGATCATTATGCAGTACAAATAAATAGTGACAATAACCAGTCAAGAGTCGTCTGATTCAGCTAGCACATTCGGAACAAGGATATCTAGCAAAAAACTTAATATTCAGCTTAAATTATTACAAGAATAAATGGCTGTCCCATTTTCACATTAAGCTTCACTGCAGTGCAAGTTTCTTCTCACAAGTCACAAAAACTTAGATAGGATAAAACCCTATTGAAAGAACATTGCAAAATTTACTTGTTAGATAAATTTTATTTTGTGACACATGGATGCAATGATCAAATAATATTTTTCTAAACCTAATTATAACTTCCTTAATTCAAATCTATATTTGATCTTCAATACCTTTGCATGTCATACACCCGAATGCTAGCACTGTTAATCTCCGCAATGGCATCACCAAAAGCCAATTTGGTTGAGCTTTCATTCATGGCTACCATAGGAAATACACGTATAACTTCTTTCAATGCTGTCATTGAACGTTGAAGGCAAGTTTTGCGCATGACTGAGTTGCCAGGGTCCATAGTTTGCAGGATGAAGTTAACCACCTGTGAGTCAGTCCAAAATCAGAATAATTCACGCTAACATTTCGGGCACAATAGTTCTGCAAAGTCTAATTTACCATTTAAGAAAGTAACCAGGATTCTTGACACCTGATTTAATAAGGAAAACCTGAAGTGATTCAGACTTCTGTGAGCAGGAAATACATGTTGACAGCCCATGAAGAATTTAAATTTATCAAAAAAGAAGCAACATGGACAGACAAAGAAATCAAAGCACAAAGCAGCAAATAAACAATTTTTCATGGAAATACCATGGGCAATAAAGAAACAAATACTATTGTTAAGACTATAGTATGTTGAAATATATCAACCTAGATATGCATCAGAAACCTGATCTACTAAACTTTGTTTTTTTTTTCCCCATGTATTTAAGAGTTAATCTATTTTTAGTCAAATCAAAATGAAGATACTAATATGTAGTTATGTACTGTGACTCACTTGGAGCAAGATATACTAACCTTATCAAGGTACTGAACCAAGTTTCTTGAAGAACCATGCACAACCCTGATCAGAGTCGTGAGAGATACCAGGTGGACAGGTGAATCGGATGCAGTAGACCAGATTTGGCTTTCTATTACAGTTAAAAACCCTAGAATATCAGCCATTGCTAGACTTGGAAGAAGGGTCCCAACTAAGGTCTCACGGATGGAACCTGGTACAACTGGTTTTTGACCAGCTGAGTTGGCTGATGGGCTACTTACACACTCAATTTGAAAGAATATGTCACCAATTAAACGAGGTATCTCAGAGCCAATGCACGCCCTCCATGTACTCTCCATGCCTTCTGCAAGGAGCTCTGCTGCAGTGGAGCTATATTTTTCATTCATTGCCATAACCAACTTCACCAGTGGTTGAACAACTATTGTGGCAAGACTTGGCTTCACGAGACTAGGGTACCATATTACCAATGCTGCAGCAACAATGATGTGAGACGTCATTGCATCTTGACTTGTTCCCCCAACACAAGAAATCCAGTCTTGCATTTCATAAGATTCTAGCCATGCAAGCAGTTTAGCTTCCTCAACCTGAGAAGTCCCCTGTGTTTCCAACAAACGTTGAGAATTCAATCCAACTATAGACGTTCCTTCATTTCTTGAAATTTCATTTTCACTTTCTTCAATTCCAGTCAGAGATCTCAGAACTTTTGCATGCTGAGTTGCTTGTTGACTATACAGAGGAGCTGGAATAGCTCGTGAAGCAGCACAGTGAAATAAAGACCGTGCAGCCATTCGTACATGTTCACTTTCATCTTGCCAAAAGCTCACTAAAAGCTGTAAAGAAAATTAAAACAATCCGAGCATAAACACAGTGTTGACTATGACAATAATTTAGTAAATGAACAAGAAACCACATCAACCATATCACCAACATAACCAACAATCTTCTGCTATTAAGGAAACAATTAAAGGCACTTTGAAAATATAATTATGAAAACCTCAGAAGATAAAAAGGAAAAGGCAGACAAACTATGAAAGCATTGACAATTATAAATTATTACACACTTTTTAGCTCAGAATCAGAGATTCAAAGAACCAAATTATCAGTACAAGATGGGACCTGTAGTAAAGGTGGCTTTATATCTGGAAATTTGTCTGCGAAATTCCTAGTATAGAATGCGGCTAAGGCACTGCAATAAATTGTCAATAAAGGCAAAATCGTTAATTACTGCTAATAACTGCAAATGGCTGGTGACAACAAATGAACTATGCACGGAACAGTATTTAATAATTGCTCAATCAAATTGTCTGACTGTTAATCTTGTAGAGGAAAAATACATACTTAAGAAATATATCACCACTAACACAATACACAGGTAAATCATCATGCGGGCATAATCAGAAGCCAGACCAGACATCCAAGTCATTGAAGACTACTCCTATAGTCAGTGCTACCTTCTAGATTAGCCAGAATAAAGATAACTTAAAAGAGGAGAAGTTAATCTTCCAGTTAATATAATTTACCAAGACAGTATCATTTCATAGATAATGCATGGACAGGATAACTATTCACTTAAACATAATTGTATCCTGGACTGATAAAAAGGTAGAATCCACTTCAAGCAATATGCCCTTATGTATGGTCACAAAATGTAGAAACCAACCTTGAAAAGATCAACCTTTCTATCCAGAACAAAATCTCAGAATCATAACAATAAATATCTGCTAAAGCTTAAATTTTGACCAAAATACTTTATTTTGTTGACAGCTATTTGGACAGTGGTTAAACAAAAAAAAAAAGGATTTTTGTTGCAAATCAGCTAACAGATTGAACTTGGTATAAATAAAAACAAAAACAAAAAACAAAGAGAAAAAGGAGATAACAAATATTTTAACAGGGCAAAGTAAATGGAGAATAATCAATGTAAAAATAAATAACAAAAGTTCATTGATTCTGTGAACTGCTTTTGATGGAAAAACTGTGCTACCTGCTGGCAGCTGAACTCGAGTGGGACAGGCTAATCATGTGTTGGGCAAGTGAAACCATTGTCAGTGACCTCATTGCACAAAACTCTGATGATGATTTCCAAAGCTGAAATGTTAATCAACAACTCAGGAGAGATTGGAACAAGTCAAATAGAAAACAGGCACCAATATCAACACAACCTCCAAAATACCTCAAGAGTTGCAGTAAAATCAGGAAATGTCAGCGTCAAGGACCCTTTATCACCTTGCAAACCAGATGATACTATAAAATCATTTGGTCTCTTCAGCTTCATGTCAGTAATTAATAACTCATCAAGCCCACAATCCACATCCCATAGATGCAAAAAGGACAAGCTAAACCGAACTAGATATTCTTCAAGCGACCTTATCCATTCATGCTCTTCTATGGCATCTTTTGAACTCCAATCAGTATTAAAGCCATCATCAGAAATCATATGATGGGGACTAAATACCTCACTTCCTTGCTGCTTGGTATAGCTACTCTCTCGCTTATCACTATCCTTTGCTAAAGGCTTATGCTTCTGACAAGGATTAAGCATTGCTGCAAGATCAAAACTCAGGGTGGCAATTCCAGGATATGGGCAAAAGCATTTTATGGGTTGCTTTCTGGTTTGAAAAACAAATGGTGTGATTGGGACTGCCTTTCCAGAATTCACTTTATTAATATTTCCTAGTGAAGAACTAGACCCAGTCATTTTTGACAAAGTGGCCCTACTTTCAGAATTATTTAAATTATATTGAGATAAGCTCCCATCTTCATGTATTGGAAGAAGTAATGAGGAAACTGAGGTATTTCCACAAAGCAAAGAACCAGAAATGGAAGTCATACTAATTTCTTGGCAGAAATGATCAAACATCGAATGAGAAGCAGTCCCACGAAGAACCCTCTCTCTAGCACCAGTCTTCACATCCCATATGTAGAGAACATCAGTGATATCAGAAATTCTGGAATGGTGCTGGCAGAGAGATGCAATATAACCTCTCGCACCATCCCAAACAACTTTTGCAGGATAGTTAGGATGTCCAGGAAACATTCTCTCTACCCTTAGAGTTTCAAGAGAAGTAAGAGCAATACAAGAGTCCTCTCCAACAGAGAGAAAGCAATCGCTCCAAGGGCGTTCAGTTCGAGTAGGGGGGAGAATAATTTGGCGCACTGGACCAACATGTTGGTGCATCACTGTAATGAGATTACCAGAATCAAGATCCCATATATGAATTGTGCAATCCATGCTTCCAGAAACTAAAACCTGACTAAAACTCCATCCTTTTGCAGCACCCACCATCCGATGTGCTGCCAGACATAGTATAGCACCAGTGTGCCCTGCAAATATTTGTTTGGATATATGAGAGTCTACTTCAATGCGTGGACTTCCAGCAGGAGAATCAAGCGCCCGAAACAAATTAAACCAAACAACTTGAATTTCACCGCTAAAGAAGCCATATACAATCGCAGAAGGAGCATAAAGATTTTCAGAAATAACCATGGAAGAAGATACAATTTGTCCCTTAGGGGCGGAATAACAACTATCATCTGCGTGTATTCTATTCATAGTTTCTGACAAAGAAACAGAGCTTTGAATAGATGTTAATTTGATCTTGCATCCACCCAAAGACTCATCTGAAGTCCATCCAAGAAAAGAAATGCCTTCTCCAAGCATTCTGCATACGTGAAAGAGCTTGCCATGATCATCAAGTTTCTGATGAAGTGACCAGAATGTAACACGTGGTCTCCACTGAAATGGATCTTCAACATTGAAGCAAACTGATTCAATGCGAAGAAGAATTTGGCTCAACTGGACAAAAGAAAATGACAACCTCGCATCAAGGGAGTAATAAGCAGCAGGGATTTCACAAAGAGGCTCAGAATTAAATGTGTTATTTAAATATGATATTGCATACACAACTGCAGATCCTGTATTACTCCACACTAAAAAATTTTCATATTCATGGGCTTCACCAATTATTTCTGCATTCCCAGAACTGTTATTTTCAAGAAACTTACCCCCCGCTACATGTGATTGACCATAATCGCCTTCAATGCAAAGGACATTGTTCATGAAAAAAATCACTCCTATTGTAATAGCACTGCCCAACTGCCTAAATATAGATCGATCTTTTAATACAGTAGCAACAATATTCCTACACGTTGCAATTGACACAACTTGTCCAGCCTCAACAAAGTCCTCTTCCCATGTCTCTATTTCCTGCTGAGAAGAATTTCTCTGCAACCCAGTTTCATCCTGGCCACCTTGATGAGAGTCCTTTAATAAAGGAACCAATTGTAGCTTACCAAAGGAGTCAGCCATGAGTGAAAAATGTTTTTCTCCATCAACTGAAGAAACAACATCCATAAACCTCAAAGGCCCAATGGACAAATTCCCATGAAAAACAGTCTGTACAATGGTGAGAGTGTACGTATCAACAATAACAACAGTACACTTAGGACGCTTCCTGTTTTGAGATTCTTTATCCACTGAAATCTCAACCCCTTCAGCAGATTCCATCAAATGATGGTCAGGTAACTGGGCAGCATCAATAAGACAACAGCCTACACAAGCATATCTTTGATTCCAAGGCAATGTACGAATAATGGAGGGGCTGCCCACCCAAGGAGGCAGCTTTCTTCTACACCTGCAGTGGCCACTACTTCTGCTCCAGACGCACAACATGCTGTCAGTGCAAGCACTTATTAAGGCACCATCATGATCAAAGAAAGAGTTTAGAGCAACATTACTTGAATAATCTGTATTTGGTTCCCCGGATACTACAGCAGGACAACAAATGCCGAGATCAGCTATTGGTGCGGCATGACCACACAACATAGCAATTGGTTTAATTTCCTGAAAAATGGCAAAATTTTCGACCATCAGTCATTAAAATCAACAATCTGAGCTGTAACCTAACAAAAGCTGGATTTAGCACCAAGAAATTACATGAATGGATGCATCACATTATATCTTTAAATATAAAACCAAAAAAACAAAAAGAAATAAACGCAAGCTCTTTGGTTATTCAATTGTATAATACACAATATAATAAGCAAATTTCTTCTTTAATAAAAAAAGAACTGAAATCGGAATTTTTTTAGTTATATTATCTTCATAATTTGAATAAAACTAGCTAATGAAACAAAACTTTAACTATTAATCACCATTTAGTTTAAGTAAACTAGGTATTTGATCAAATTAAATAACAACTAATCAAATCTAATTCAAAGAAAGAATGTCGAACTAAATTTAATATTGGAAATGAAAAAAGGAAAAGTTTGTTACCGAGTGAGAATCGGAGTTGGAGAGGTTCCACCAGAGGATGGAGCCATCCGATCCGCCGGTGTAGAGAGTGGGAGGGTAGTTGAGGGTGGCGGTGGCGGTGACTTGGTGGACCGGAGGCGTGCCTGACCATATACACGCCACGGATCGGCACTTCATGGCCCCGAGTTCGGCCGGGATGAGTGAGTTAAGCGAGTTATTTTTCGAAGTTGGAAAGTTCTAAGTTCTAACTTCTTATAAAGGCTAAAGACTAAAGACCAGGAAAAGCGCTCGGCCCACGATTGTGTTTAAATCTCTCCGAATCTCCCCGCTCGGTCCGTACCTTGTGGTTTACCGGTTGGATAAAAGCAAGAATCGGATGCAGTCCAACGGAAGTTTTAATCGCTCAGCTCGGGTTGAGATAGTGGGCTGGTTGGGTTTCCATTGCAAATGGGATAATGGACTAAGTATTAAAACCTTCTTAAAAAAGGAATAGCAACCCAGACTGGCCCCAAAATCCATACTCTGGTAACTCGTGCATCACAAATCCATAATCTAGATGGAGTTGTACAAAAAATGCCATCAAAACTGGAACAAGCACACACTCTCCCCATAACATGCAAACATGATAAACCAAGAAAATACAAGTCTACAACAAACACTATTAACTAAGAGCAAGCTCTTAAACCTTATCGGATACAGGTGACAAAACCAAGTATAGGCGAAATTGAAATCACTTTACAGCCCGGGGAGACACTGTACAATGACTGTGTGATACTCAAAATTGACCATAATGTTATATAGAGAGCTTCATCATATTCATTCCCCTTCCACACCAAGTCAACACTAACGCATCCCCCCCGACCTATCTGGCAGAACAACAGAACTACCATTCATGCCAGCAGTTTCAGTTATTGCATTATTTTGCATTTGAGGGACAGCTGGATTCCTGCTATTTGCGAGAAGCGCCTGCAGATGTGGTGGAACACTAGGTGAAGAGGTTAAATTTGCCTGTGGCCTTGCAGCTTGTGCTGATTGGGTGGGTTGAATCATTAACTGGCTAAGAGCTTCAGAATACGCTCGACCTGTGAGACTTCCTCGCATTCGGCCTGTAGGGCGCCAATTCTGCTCAGACACCAAATCAGCTGAGGTGTCAGCTCGTGAAGCTGCTGGTGTTAATCCACCCATGTTCAGTCTCTGCTCCACAGCTGAAGCCCTACTCCCATCAACATTTCCAGAATAAGATGCTGCTCTTGATGATTGGGTTTGAACTGCCACCATTGGGGGCTGTCTAGCCATTTGGGTAGCTCTCTGGGCAGCAGCCATAAATCTGGTAGGATTGCTATTCACATTGCCTGCTGTGTAGCCTAACCCAACTTGTGCAGCTCCTTGTTGAGTCTGTGTCCGTAGTAGAGGCGATGGTGACCGAATTAGACCTGGAGATGGGCTCCTGGGTTGAGACACCCTTGGGTTCAGTGCTTGTTGCAGGTGTGGGTTTTGGTATTCACCAAGAAGCCCAGAAGATGCTCTGTATGAACCTGGGAGTTGACTTGAAGCTGCAACACCAACTTGTTGAACTGACTGACCAGGAGCAAATAAACGTTCTTGCTGATTCCAACTCTGCATTGAAAAGATCATAACCTAAAAATTAGCATGAAAGCCTAGAAGAAGAGCATAAACAAGAGCAGACACATAATAATAATAATGATGATGATGATGATAGTGACCTGATGTGGATTAGCAGGGGATCTAGAAAACTGTGGCTGCCTCTCCATGTCACTGGAGACTGAAGGTGCCATGGACATGTTGGCCTGGGGAGGAAGTGGAGAACCATTTGTGCTCAAAGTATTCAGACTATTTCTTGATCTCTGTTGCAGGGTTGGTGTCTGAGACAGAGCTGGGAGGGCCTGAACTGCAATTGGTGTTCTGTTTAGATGTCTGGGTATGTGCTGCAATGTTCCATATTCATGAGTTGGCATTGAATTTATCAATTGTGACTGCTGTAACTGCAAATTACTAGCAGCTGAAACTTGATTTTGAATCCCAAGTGCTGTAAGATTAGCATTACCACGAGCCTCAGTTCGATTGGGTGCCGGAGAAATAGCATCAGAAAACACGGGTGATACTGTAAAATTTGACGGAGTAGACTCAGATATGCCACCAACTTGGGCATCTGTCCTAGCAGTGGAGATGCCAGACCCATGACTTGAGTAAAGTCCAGACCAAAAATCTTCATCCATATGAGAAGCAACGTTTTGATTAACTCCAACTGTGTTAGTCAATTCTGGTGTTATGGTTAATTTTGGAGCAGCAGACTGACTTTGAAGATTAGCCACCACAGGCTTCCTATCTTCAATTTCAATAGTATCCATTGCATCTACCTCGTCATCATCCTGAGTAAGATCCAGAACAATAGGAACGGCCTTAGCAGATTCTGGCTGCTCAGACCCATCTTTCTGGTAATTAAGAATCTTATCATGCAACTCATCTACATTATCATCATTATCCAACACAGCTTTCCATGATCCATCCGCAGAGATAATCACATCAGACACATCCTCTGATACATCTTTCAGCACCTGAGGACAAACCAAAAATTTAATAGAAGTAAAACAAGATATCATAAAGGCAAAGACAACTCCTTAGTAACTTGCCTTAAACATATTTTGATCAACACGGATGTCAGTGTAGCATACATGCTGATTGCAATGTGGGCAGCGCCAGGATGGTCTTCTAGAGTTTATGTCAACATAGTTATTGAAATCAAAGCACTACAAAATATAGAAATCAAAGACATTATAAACATCAGGAACAAGAAGAGATAGATCACCATATGAATAGCAGCAAGACATTAGAAAGTAAGAAATCGTTCTATGAAGTACTCGTGTCTATCTAATACATCTATAATAGTAATTTCGAATCTTGTGAGGACCTTCTCAATGGGTGAAAGAAGGAAAAAAAAAAAAGGTACTAAAGTCTGGACAACCCAAAATCACAGAACCAATTTTATATTGTAAGTATATATTTTAAATCAGGCTTTTCGAATTGAAAGCAGGACATCTTAAAAGCTTCCATGTAATGGGGGCAACTGAACCATCTAAGCAAACAGAACCTGAGAAACATTAAAGACATCTTATTAAAGCACTTAAAGCACATGCTATAATGATAAAAGTTGGCAGAGAGAGGACCGAAAGCAAAAGTTTGAAGGGAATAACATTCATCATAAGTAATTCAGCAATTGGTAAACAATTATCTCAAGTCAAGTACTGTAAAATTTCTTCAACAAGTTTCACAACTTGATTAATGCGAAAACACCTTAAGACTCACCTGAAGATGCTTACATGCATGCCCTTTGACAGGAGTTTTGATGCGTGTTCGGCTGTTGGAAGAGAGAGTCAATCAACAGAATTTCAATACATAAATGGAATTATAATGTCAAGATGAACTAGCAACTCTTAGTCCTCAAGAAAAATAAATGTCATAAACCATTTATAAAACATTTACAAATAAAAATAATAATAATAATAGAACACTAGAACCAAAATAGAATAATGAAGAAAGAACAAAACTGACTAATTGCATGCACTGTCCACTCAAAGTTTCGGAAAGGTGGAAAAATGGTGGTATAAAATTAACACTATGTTTGGATTGAGGGGAGAGGAAAGAAAGGAAAGAAAAAGAAAGGTAAGTAATGAAAACAGAAAAACCTTTCCTTTATTTGGATAAACTTTTAATATAAATGAAAAAAAAAATGTGAAAACCCAATAACCTTTGGTTTCTCTTATAATCCTCACCTTTTTAATATCTCAATTTAGGGGAAGAAAAGCTAAGGAAAGGAAAGTTGAAAATTTTTATTTTTATAAAAAGACTATTATATCCACATTTTTATTATGACATTAGATTTGATTATATAACTGATAATTTTTACAAAGATAATTTCCTTTTATGAGTATTTTATATAATATCACAGTTTATAAATATTTTATGATTTTTCAAGTCTTAATAACAAAACAAGCCAAATTATTGTCAAAATAAATTAAAAAGTTGAATTAACCACAAAATTAAGAGTAAATCAATAAATAACTAATATATCTTACCGTATTAAACATACTCAATTTTGTTCAAAAAGATTTGTTTATAAAAGTTAGGCAGTATAAATATATATTTATATATTATATGTTACTTTTTAAAAAAAAAGTTATAATTGAAAAAAATATTATAATGATTTATTTCCTTTCCTTTCCACTATTTATCCAAACAATAGTTGTTAAAATTTCTTTCATTTCCTTTATTAATTGTAACTATCCAAACAAGAGGTATATGTACCATTTCCTTTAAAAAACTTTCCTTTCCATTCTTTTCTTTTCTTTTTTCTTCCTTTATTAATATCTATCCAAAAATAACATAAGTGAATGTAAAATAAATGTAAAATACGTAACAAAAGCCTCATTTCAAAGATGTATTCTAATTTTATATAAAAGAAAAGGTATTAATCAAAATAGTCAGGTGCAACTATTAACCCTGGCATTTATTTTGAATATATTTGCAAATAAATAACATCATGTAAGAACTATAACAATTAGGGTGTTAATTGACAAAAAGATCTCTGCCCCAATAACAAATATGTCGAATGTAGGATAAATTTGCATGCCATGTCCTGATGCTTTTAAAATTTCATTTAAAATAAATAATCCAATTACAATAAAAAAAGGTTAACTTGAATTTGAAATAATGCCCATGTAATATGGGGTAAATACATAAACCCTATTGACAAAACCTCTAAAGTACACTTACCCCATTTTAGTTTAAGGGAGTAAATGATACACCAATATTCACAAGCTACTCGGATTTGACTCGGATAAAACTCAAATTCAACTTGACCATTGTTGAGTTAAGCTCAAGTTCGAGTAGCTCAATTCATTAAGCGAGCCTAGTTCGAGCATCTTAACGCTTGGCTAAAATAACTCACGAGCCTAATCAAGTTTTTATGTTTTAATATATTTTTTTATTATTTTACTCATATATATATATATATATATATTATTTGAGCTTGAGTTCGAACACAAAAAATCGAACTTGAAATCAAGCATGCAAATCGAACTTGTTTTTTATTTTGTAAATGAGCCTAATTAAGCTAACTCAAGCAACTCAATTTTTATCTCAAGTCGAGCTCGTGCTTCTCATTGTATCGTCTCAGCTCGATTACACCTCTACTCTAGTTTGAAAATGCATTAGTTTCCCATTTACGCCATCCAAAGGAGTTAGTCAAACTATTAATAAAAGTTAAAATCCTAAATTACCCTTTATTCCTTAATCTTCAATAACTTCACAAATTCTCTCTCTCTCTCTCTCTCTCTCTCTCTCTCTCTCTCTCTCTCTCTCTCTCTCCATTTAGCTCCTCACTAGTCATTACCATCGATTCTTTCTCTCTTCCTACCACCTGATCCACCTCCATCTATATTCTCCATCCTTGCGTTCTTTTTTTTACTCAAAATGAACAGTTTAGAACCCAACAACAAAAAAACTAAGAAAAGTAAAGGGGCATTAGCTTTGGTGCTTCATTCACTGTTGATGGGGATTGAATTGAATCACTTGGGTAGCACCCAATTTATTGGAGTACCTTAGGCATGTACACTTTAATAGATTCAAAATGAGAAGAAATCTGATTTAGGTCAAGCTTTTGTGCAATGGATTTTTTAGTGTTTATGGTGAAATTTTGTAAGATTCAAGTTACTGTTGCCAGTTAAATGTTGCACTTCTGTTGATTTTGTTCGAAATTTGCTGTTGATAGTCTTGGTGTTGGTTAAGGTGACATTGGGTTTCAATTGCAGCCATTTCACTTAGAAAATCCATCACGTATAAAAGAGGAGAGAGAAAAGAAAAAGACAAGAGGAAAGGAATAAGAATTGTAACAAGTCCAATTCCTATAGTAATTTTTTATAGATTTCTGTTCTTTTCTCAGGAATTATGAGCCCTTTTCTCAAAAAAAGTTAATAGAAACATTCTAGTTAGTTCTTTCATTTTTAGGAGTTAATAGATCTTCAAGAAATATTTTCAATAATCTTTAGTCAAATTTGTTTATTATTGCTTAGTTAGATTAAATTAGATTCTTAACAATTGAAATTTTTCGGGTAAGTATGTCTTTTTACCATTGCAACTATATGTTGACTAACATTATGGGATGGTCCAGGGGGTAAACATTGTATTGTGAGACTAGAGGGGGGAAGTCTAATTTGAGATAATCCTTAGGGGGTTTTTAGATGTCACAGTGTAATATGATTGATGTACAATTGCATGAAGGGAAATTCTAGCATGACAAAAGACAAGTATCATGGCTTACCTTATGGGACACTTGAGTGATATCCGTGATGGTCCTTCAATTATATCAGAATCTTCTGTACCAAAAGAAAGAGAGAAAAATTAACAACAATTTGAAACTCTATATAACAGGATGAAAACATCATCAGGACACAACAAAAATTTTCTCCTCTATCATATATCCTCATACGTACCTGAATCTAGTGCAACATCACCAGACTGAACATAATCTGGTAGCATGGAAGGGTCAGGTGATGACTCCATACTCATGAAGGCAATCACTATGATGTAATGACCTTTTTCAATAATTAGTCTCTGTCAGCAAGCTCATGCAATAAAATTAGGATGTTTAGACAAAAAAGAAATAAGTTCATGTCATACCACAGAACCGGCCCACAGCTTGGAGAAGATTTGTCCCATATTTCAACATTGCAGTCACATTTGTTGGCATCTGAGGTCCCATATCCTGATATAGGAAACAGAGTAAAAGTGAAAATATTGATGACAGAATCTGCACCCTATGCAGTCTTAAACAAAAATAATCAATAAAGAAAATAATGGAATAGAAAACAAACCATTAAAACATTGGTTCTTCTCTCCACCCCCTTTCCGTTTAATAGAAAGCTGCAGAAGTAGAAAATTATCAGAAAAGATCCAACATGACCATTGGCACATTAGACAAAGAGAACAAGGAAACACAAAGTGATTCATACTTCACTTGTTGTGGACTTATAATACAAGCAGATGTCTCTATGTTATCTATTTGAGCTACAAATAACCTCTGCAAGAGAAACAAAAGAAAGAAATACAAAGTGAGACGCAGGACAATTTCCACAATCGTTGTTTTCAATTTAAGTCTAAATGACAAGAACTGCAGAAACGTCAACAGTCAAGAAGAGAAAATCCATAACTGGCAGTAATAATTTTTTCTAAGGAACTGTTTTCTTCCAAAAGTATCAGCCATCATCCAAAAATCAATATTTAAAGTAAAAAAGAAGTTCTTACAATTTTCTCAAGAGGAGAATGTGTTGCATTCTTTGATATATGGAAATCAATCACAAGTGCCCCATATCCAGGCTACAATGCAAAAGAACAAGATTAAAACATGCTCACATGAATATAACAATAGGGTTTATAATGATGGGTTAAAAAAAAAAAACTACCTTAGCTTCAAGAGAAGCAAGTATCTGCCCCATCTTCATTAATGGATAGAACCTAAAAAGGTGGGTTTATTCTCAAATTATTCATTAGCTGTAGCAGCAAAAAAAAATTACTATTTCAACATCCAAATGTAAAGAGATGTTCTTATAACAGGTTTGATAATCAACACATAAAACTTTAGGAGATTGGCAACATGACAGTTCTTTACCTCCAATCGGAGCACATACGTTAAGTATAGAGATATTAAAAACACACAAATATGGATTCAACAGACAACAATAGCATGAACCACTATCGTTTAATTATTAAAAATAATACAGGCACCTGCCATGCTCATGGCAATAAGAAGGGGAGAGGGAGAAAAAGCCAAAGAACAAACTTGGCTTCAATTAATAATATGTCAGCATCAACATTTGATATCTGACTCAAATTTCTGAAGGTCACATCACATATGATATAATGGCAATTCAAAATCATTAGGAATATCTCCACTATCTTGCTTGGGCAGAATTAAAAATGAGCACTTATAGCAAAAATTAGAATTTGACATTAATAATGTTTGTCTATGGTGCTGTAGCCAAGCTAGAAGTCCAACATCTTTTGGTAAGTATCATTTTGAACAAAACATTAAACATGGAAATGGAAATACCATTGTTCTTGCAAATAAAATATAAATAAGTAAAAGCCCCTACCTTGACATAACTGCCAAAATAGTTGACAGTGAACCATCTAATCCATTGTTAATATCTCCTGGGCTGCAAAAGCAACTGCCCACCTAGATATGCAGAGAAACTACAATTAGCAACCCAAAGGGTTACACATCAATAAAGCCGGTCTATTGTAGTCGGTTTTCACCAACTTGTTAAAGCAGTATTTATGGGGCTCAAGGCCAGGGCCTCAAACCTCTACAATGGCTCATGTATCAGAGCAGTAACTATTTATCATGTAGCAAATTCAGATAACTAAGAGGAGAGAGCGAGAGAGAGAAGAAAAGCATTCGCTAGGAATCAAACCTCATTAGCAAGAGCAAAAAGTTCTTGACTCTCTTTATCCGAAAACCAGCTCATCTTACAGGCATTCTATCATGTACACACAAAGTCATCAAGAAGATGAACATAAAAGAATGTATTCAGTTTTAAACACAAAATCATTAATTCAAGACAAGCTAATAGATGATTCAGCATTAAAAAAAAGAAAGACATGTTAAGAAACATAGAGAAAAAATTAAGACAGGATTGAAGACAAATTAAGTAGAACAACCTTCCACTAAACCATAGGTGCTACAAACACACACAGAGGCATGCAGGCAGCCACATACAAGCAATATAATGATGAATAGAAGTATACTGATTTAATGTGAACATCTAACAAGACTATAAATCTATAATACATAACACACCACAGTTCTGAGAAAGAGAAATCTAACTCAAATAAATCTCATAAATCAGGCATCCTAACTTGTCTTAAATTACAAAAACCAAATGATATTAAAAACAATCAAATATATAGGATATTATAATACATCTTTTAGCCAAGTATAACAGTAAATGAAAACCATAAAAGGAATTAGCTTCAAGAATCAAAATAACTACCGATGTGCAACACATACAAAGATGTAGACCATTATTTAAGGTACCGATTAAGATTCAACTGATCACACAACCAGCAACAAAGATATACAAAGATGAAAGTATTCAGAAGTACCTTTACTGATATCATCAACACCATAATAGCCGCTTGCAAGAAGAGATCATTTCTGCGTTGGCATATCTATAAAGAAAAGAAACAAATGTGTAATATACAGATTCATTGCCCATACAAAAACGTAATATTACAAATTCCATGCATTAGATGATGGAAGTAGCAAAAAAAAAAAACTATTAGCACTTCCTACTAGAAAGCGCTTGCAACCAAAAAAGCTAATGCTTAATATATTTAGATGTTAAAATTTAAGGGAATGCAACGTAAGCCATACCTGTTTCAACAATAAAGGTAACTCTTTCGCTTTGGCAGGAACCTCATTGTTGGCAATTGCATAATCAATGCCTCTGTATATTTCAAACAAATCCAGTCATATATCCAAAAAAGATTATGAAATGGAGAGTACCAATAAGCTCAAATTGTGTTAAAGTGGAATCAAATAATAGCGGCCAATGGTACGAGAAGCAGAGGACGAAAGCAAAATAAACAATGAACTCAAATACAGAGCTCATTCAAAACGAAATGGCAACAAATAATACATGCAAAAACAACTTCCATTTTCAAAATTTGAAGACCAAAAAAAGGATCAACCGCTTATAATTCTCCATAATCCCCACTCTTCTTGCATAGTTGACAAACCCTAATGCGAAAACACATCATGGAAAAGCAAATATAAATTCATTCCATTAATCATCAAATTTTTTCGAAACCTACAGGAAAAACATGGGAAATTAAAGCAAATTGAAGGGATGAAAAGAGAGCTAATATGAGAATTTACTGTCCATATTAGTTCAAAAAAAAGGCATGATTTCAAAACCAAAGCTAAAACTCTAACCAAGTATCATTAAAATTTTGAACAACTTAAAACCGTCAAAAAGAACAAGTAAAATGAAGCAAAAGATAAAACGTACAGATATGGAGGTATTTTTTTTTTTGGCACAAAAGAATTGGAGAATATTTTTATATATAAGAAAAGTGCCTGGCTAGAGAGAGGCAGAGGCTGAAGAACTCCGAGTTTTGAGGCTGTCGACCGGGCTGAGTATGAGTAGCCAATCGCTCAGCCACTGCAGCCACTCGAAACGAGTTCACCATTGACGCCGAGATTTGCTGCCCCACTCCTAGTCCAGATGCCGTCGCCGCCACCGGTGGGATCGCAGTCATTTTTCTTTTCTACCAATGATGCCCACTAACGAGGGAAAAACAAATAAAAAGCTTCTTGTTCATCTTTTTTGTTTTTTTTTTTTTTCTGATAACCTTCTTGTCGCTCTTTTCGGGGGACTTTGGATTTTTTTGGTTGGGAGTTGGAATATTAACATAGGGCTCTTTTGGCTTTAATTACCGAAATGCCGAAGATTGGTGTGTGGTAATTTAGGATGAAGTTCGTATCGGAGAGTCAATTGATGTCAATATGTTGCTTGCGAAGGAAGAAAACCGTTCGAATTGGTTATGGGTTACAGCTGGCAATTCTTACGTGGCAGTATGTTTAAACATAGGGTAAACTGTAAAATAGTAAATAAATAAAAATTTGGACACATGCGATGATCTAATTAAAAAAATATATAAATTACAGCATCCGCCCCAAAAGTTTCGGTGATCCCACGACGCATCAGTACTGCCGATATCATTTTCTTTTTTTTTTGCCACAAGCCGTTACCATTCTGTTTAGGGCTTCTAAATATATTATTCAAAATTTTCTTTATACTCCATCACTTTTTTTTAAATACCCATATAATAAATATTAAATTTATCTTTTAATAAATTACAATATTATCATCTTTTTCCTTTTTGATTGTTTTACCTAATCGAATCTAATTTTTTATATTTTTAAAAACTATTTTTTAATACAATATAATTTTTTAAAATAAAATTTTGAAAATTATGATATAATTGCGAAAATAAAATTTTTTAAAAATAAATTTTCAAAAATCTTAAAAGTTTTTCGAATACAAAAATAAATTTTCAAAAACTTTAAAGGTTTCTTATAAATTTTATTTTCAAGAAATTTGAATTTTATGAAATTTATTTCGTAAATCTTAATTTATTTTTGCATGGATTTAAATCAAATTAATTGAAATAAATCTTAAAATTTTACTTTTAATCAATGAAAGAGTTTAAAAAATATATAATTTTTGGATTAATTTGATGAATTTAAAGTTATTTTGAGTTTGAAATTGAAGAGATAAGAAAAGAGAATAAAAAAAATATTGAAGGTACGAAAGAAAAATCAATTATTGAAGAATAACTTGTATTTAATAAAAATAAAAAATTTAAATTTAAATTTGAGATATGTGTAGTAGCAGAATGTGTTTAGTAAAAATAAGGGGTGTAAATAAAATTTTCCTTTTTTGTTTAGTTGGCTGTTTATAATGCCTAAAATACCCTTTTGCTGGGTGATTCATCATCATGGCAACGGCCCACGGAACGTGCTGCACTTTAATAATTTTATTCAAATTTATTCAAATTTATTAATTTGGATATCCAATTTTGATTTATGGGAAGTGATTAACTTACGTCGATATAATTTTTTTTAATTTTATATAATTTTTAATAATTGATTTTAATAAGTTCAATTTCAATAGATGATAATAAATCATTTTTTTATTTGTCTCTTTTATTTTTTAAATTTATTAATATCAATGTTTATAAAAACATGTAAAATAGTGTAAAATTTTTTTGTATAAATTGATCCCTCTCCTTATTCAATTCATATATCTATAATTCATATCTAATTCAATTTTATTAGAAATTAATTTAATATAATATTTATAAAAATATTATTTTTAATATAAATTATATTTTAATTGTATATAAATATAACAAATAATAATTTTATTAATTTAATATATATAAACATAAAATTAAATAAATAAATAAGATATATATTTATATATATATGTATATATCTCAAAATAAATTGAGATGAATTATTCTAAATCTGTTTACGATTTAAATTTCAATTTAAAAGTTATGCCCCTGTCAAATTAGAACGATAAAAAATTATAGATACAAATTATTTCCTAATCAACTGACTCTTTTACTTTCACTTTTATTTGCCTTTTGTACGAGAATGACAAAAGTTTTGCTCAACACTATCTATGTTAGCTTTATTTTTTCTGTTTGCAAATCGAAGCAAACAAATTCAACTTCTAACCAAGCACATATAATATATATATATATGTGTGTGTGTGTGTGTGAAAATTAAATCACTTCATTCTAAGACGAACAAAGCCGTGGTTGCCAACAATTGCGATCCCAGTGTGATCCCCATACACAAGGTGGACGGCCAGACCTTGGCGAGGGTCATGACTGGTGCAAGAGAATTGTTCGCCACCAGGAAGAAAACAAAAACAAACAAGAAGCTGACTGGAAGGATGGGTTTTACAAGATTGATCTGACAGCATGCTACGATATTCTCTTGGCGGCCATGTGACAGAGTTGCTGATATGATCAAAGGAAAGACGTCAGTAAACTTTGAATTTTAATGTTTATCAATTTCCCCAATATGCATGCATATAGTTAGTAGCTGCATCAATACTTTGATTTTATGACTTTGTGTTAAGCCAACTCATTAGTTGATGTGCCTGAAATTTATTCAGGATTTGCAGCCACTTGATTGTCATAGGTCATCAAAAAATCTCAACAGAAAATCATCCAACGAGGTAGCCACAGCCACCTTGTTCATAATATTTTTTTGCATTCATTTGGAAGGGAACAACTACTCCAGTCAAAACTAACAGAAGCTGAAAAGTTATGATATGAAATGAAAGTGTTACCTACAAGAACTAAAATTCGACACACTGAAATCAGAATTCCATTTTACACAAGAAAAGAAAAATTCAGTGCCAATTGATAACTGGGTGCCTTGGCTCTTCTCATTTGCAATTCCAGTAACTCTACCCTCAGTTAACTCCTTTTGCATATAACAGTGATTAAGCCATGGCAGCCATCAGAATTTGATTCAACAGAACAAGGGAACGACACCATTAGTCATGCACTTTGGACTTTATGAATACGGACTCTACAGTCTTACTCAGCGCTTCCCACCCTGAAAAAGAGAAGGTAAATGGGGCAAAACTTGTTTAGCACCACAAAGCTAAAACAACATACTCCAGGAAAGAAACACTTGCACAGTCAATTGCATGCCGATTACAATGAACCAAACTGAGAAGAAGAAGAAGAAAAGATCTTCTCGGAAATGGATAATCTAATTAAAACTACAATTCCATCAATAAAAAGTGAACCTAGGTAAGGGGATGTCTTAAAACCTGCCAAGTCTTAAAACCTGCCAAAACTTGGTCAGCAAAGAGGATTTATAAGGCATTGACAAAGAAGTTATCAAAGGTAAAAGAAATCTTGACAGTAAACGGTTGAATCTCTTTCTCTCAGTGGCATATTTATTCATAGGGTCAATCCGTAATAATTGATCCATTGCCCAGGAACAGCAGGACGCAATCCTCAGATGAGTGGTGACTCAAATTTTAAAGCAGATAATCAATATATATTATAACACGCTCACCTTAATTTTAATATCCAAAAGGAAGTCAAAATCTTAAACTTAGAATCACAAGTCTTACTCATCTCACGTTTAATGTGATGGCGTCTGGATAAAATATGTCAAAAGCCTGCAGAATGCATTGCCTTAATAGTTCAGAGTACCTAAGGTTTCTTACCTTGTGAGGTGGAGTTCCTGGCCTTAACGCATTGTTGGCAAATCCAAACTTTCCTTTCTTCTCTAAAGATTTAAGGATCTGAAAGGAACATGTTAAAGTATCATCCACGCTCATCATGGCACCTGCATTATCAAATTCACCACAGTAGTTTGGTGCAGAGAATATGGTCACCAATTGCCGCTTTGCAAAGAACTCATAACCATCTTCTACAACCTAAATGAAGCATAAAAACATTAAAATAAAAAGAGAAAAAAATTTACAAGTCAGTAAGAAAGTAATACATGGATGCACATGTCTCTATTTTGGCAAGATACAAAAGTTAATTACTAGAATTTAGCCAGTGTGCCCACATTATTATATTGGCAGTAACAGGAAGCTTTCAGTTGCAGGAACATGGAGATCAACGCATCTGCTAACATGCAAAGAGATTATCTATAGTGATGCACTAAACTCTTCAGTTTTCACATATTTCCCACAATTGCCTATTATACTATCAGGTAATGCAAATTTAGCAAAGAAATGTGAAAGCTTCCATACACGTATGCTGTAAGCCAATTAGGAAGGCTAATGAAAAAGACAATACCTGATGAGCTCGGCAAATGAGATCAAGTTCATGTTTCTGAAGGAATTCCGAAACTGTATCAGCCCCAAATGTATATGAAACACCCCTATCATTCTCTCCCCAGCCTTCAAGATCTTTATCAGGATCAGCCCAAAGAAGATCACAGAGAAGGCCTTGATCTGGCACATCAACAGGGCGAGCAATGTTCCGGATCTGATCCAATTTTTTCAAATCAGGAGATAATCCACCATGCATGCAAAGGATCTTCTCATCAATTAGAGCAGCAACAGGAAGGCAATTAAAGCACTCTGTAAATATCTTCCAGACACGAACACTAAACCTTCTCTTGCACTCATCATAGAACCCATACATACGGTTGATTGATGCGCATTCATGGTTGCCTCTAAGGAGAAAAAAATTCTCTTTGTATTTGACTTTGTATGCTAGGAGAAGGCAAATTGTCTCAATGCTCTGCTTGCCACGATCAACATAGTCTCCTAGGAATAAATAGTTTGCTGTAGGAGGGTACCCTCCATACTCAAACAAGCGTAGAAGATCTGAAAATTGACCATGAACATCTCCTGCCAAAATAGTACGAAAGGAAATGCAGAATATTTACATTCTCAGTTTGTTAAAAATTGCTAAACCAACAGGAATTGAATTATATACATGCAAGCCAGCACATGCACAACAGGCATGTTTGTGATATAGTTAATGAAGATCAAGTTAGTGCGGTACTAAACATAAGATAAACTCAACTTCTAGAAGTCCAAGCCCCTTGAGGGCCAAAAACTTACCATATAGACCTTAACAACCAAATTAGAAGGCCTTAAAATTAGTGAGAGTGAGATCCTAGTTCCTATATAAGAAAATAAAAAGACCACAAAGAGCTCATTTAAGGCTAAATAGCTTCTGCAACACTCTAACGCTTGAAGGCCCACTAAAAACGATCACAAACTCTGATGAACCGTTTCGACAAATGTTGCAAGGATGGCAATAAACTTACTAGACACCCACCAAACATGATTACAAAGAAACATTAATACTAAAGAGAAGAAAAGAATAAGACAAAAGGGAGAAAGTCCAGCTTTTTAGAAGGATGTAAAGAAACAAATAAATAACCAGGAAAGTGCAACTTTCAATTATGATTTTAAGTTCAATCGAACACGAAGACATTTCAAGTTCATGCCTCAATTTAGAACCTTCCTACGATCACATTAGTCACAAAAGTTTCTCTTCATAGTATGAAGTTCTAACTTTCCCTTAATATCAAAGCGAAAACAAGACTTTCCAGAAATGTTGTTATTATTTCCCACCATGTGGGGGACACAATTATTTTAACTTCCCAATGGGAAAAAATGTCAACAACTCAAATTTCTTGTTAAATGAAATTTGTCCTGTGTCCACCAAACAGCATATACCAAAGTTCAATAACAAAAACTAGGATCAAAACACACTAATTGGTAACAAATACACATAATAACTTTTGAAAGTCTAAAGTATCTTCTCGTTATGTCATATGGATAATGCATGTCACATACAACTAGCTATAACCTCATTGAGCCGAGTGACGTGCACAATCTATATATCTTTACAAAAAATTCACTCACTAATGATGCTTCCAAAGCAACAACCTAGAGGCCAACAGCCTTGTGGTCCGTTGGTATAGTGTTGGACTCTTAGTTCTAATGGTTAAGGTTCAATCCTTAAAAAATAAACAAAAAAAGGAGCAATAACCTAGAGTTGTATTACTAAGAAATACCGTATACACGTGAGATTACATTTTAGCCAAAAATTGTAGTATAATTAATTGCCAAACTCACATTTGAAAAACTGAGGCTACTAAACAAAGCACGTGCATAATTTCATCATGCTGCAAAGACTTGCCTGGCGACCAAACCAATCAAGTGTATTGGTTGTTATCTCCCAGTAATGCATTGCCAACGACAATTCAACTAACAGTCTAATCCAAAACCCCTTAGACTACTTTTACTGCTCTTCACAATCTTCCTATTTTTTTTTCTTTATTCCACCATCCAAGTCAATAGAATCTTTTATAATTCACCTCAATAACTCTATTACAATCAGAAGCTAGAAATTTTGGTATAAATTTGCTAATATTTACATCCATAGATATTCAAGATTAACACATTAACTGATTACAATCAATTAAAACTACCCCTAAAGACAGCAATGAAAATACCCCCAAAAGAAAACAACAATCAATTATAAAAATTGTATCTACCAAGTAAAAAAAAATTTTAAACCACTGATTATTACCACAAATCTTGATAGGAGCTTCAAGCTCAAGAAGATTAGGCTGACTAAGAAAGATCTCTTTGGAGGCAACACAAAGCAGCTTTATCTCAGCCTCCGTCAGCTGAACTTGCTTGGTAGTCCTCCCATTCTTGGCCCCCACCAGCCTCCTTATGATATTATCAAGCAAATTCTCGTCCATCTAAAAGAAAACCCTAAAAGAACAGCACCCTTTTTCTCAAACTGACCCAAAAAACAAGAGATTCTCCTTATTCAGAAAATGGATTTCGTCTGTTTGTTTTAGCTTTGCCGTAATTCAAAAAGCAGCAACCCACTGGAGCTTTTATGAGCGGAGAGGAGAGGAAACGAGAGTAGAGGGGCGGACGGGCCCTTCTGAAAGAATCCTTTTAAAAGTCTTTTTTTAGTTTTCCAGTAGGAGAGCATGCTGTTTGCACGTGCGAAGTGTTACTTTAGTCAACATTTTTTTTTTTTGAGAAAGAGGAAAAAAAAAACAATTTCTTGTAATAATGACTTGATAATGAACGATTGCCATAAAAATAATCAAGATATTTTTTCCATCTCTCTTTCAAATCTTCCTAATATTGTACTTAACGCATTCGTCTTAGAAATTTTTTATATGAAAAATAGAAATTTCAAATTTTAAAAAATTATGAATCAATCACTAAATTAAATAGTTAAAATAAATTTATTCATGAATTGGATCAATTCGTGTATGATTGGATTGATTTTTTTAATCCTTTTTTTATAATTTGATTTGAATTTTAAAAAATATTAAAATTTTAATTGCATTTTGAAATTAAATAAAAATGTTTATTATTAATTAAATATTATCTCTAGTTAAATTGAGATTAAATTTAAATAATTTTATTCAAAATTCCAATTGAATCTAATAAGATAATTTTGTCACAATCAAATATGTAAATAATCCAATTTTTAAACATGTTTACTTTAAAGTATTATTTTTTTATTCACAACATAAAAATAAAAATAATAAAATTTAAACTCTTATTTTACATATCATTTAAAAATTTTTTAATCTCTAAACTAAAATTTGAAAACTTTTAGAGTGCCACCATATCAATCTTATAACATTAACCCAGTAATTTTTTTTATAGACTTAAAATAGTAATAATAACAAAAGGATATGATTGGTGAATAAAGAGTTTTCAAAACGATTTTTTTTTTAATCGTTTGAAACGAATAGGATTTTTTTTTTTTTTGGCAAAAGAAATCATTGAATTTTATTGGCAAAATTTTTTTTTTTTTTTTCATTTTTAAAAAAGTTTCACTTTCAATATGTACCATAGTCATAGAGAGAGAATCTATACACTAAGATTATTGACCGTCGTCAAAAACAATGAGTCAATTTACATATTTGCATATTTTGTTATTCCTTTCTTTATCCCTCACTCGATTCTCTCTTTTTTCGAGTGAGGGTAGTTAAGGAATCAAACATAAAAAGGAAAGTTGTCAAAAGTGAGGGACTATTTGCATTTTATTTTTTTTAAATCATTAAAATTTTATATTATAAATTTAATTTTTAATAAAATTATTTTAATATTTATTAGTTAATTATCTTTTTATTTTTCACACCTTTTTATATAAATTTTTAAAAGTTTTCATACATTTATTTTTAAAAATTTTGAATTTTCAAAAGTTTTTAAAATTCTTTCAGTATCCGAAAATCTTTAAAAAATTTTAAACATTTATTTTTAAATTGTATTTAAATATTTTAATATAAAATCTTACAAAATTAAAAACAAAATCGAATAAAAAAAATTATTTACCTTTAATTTTATGTTTTTAAATTTCAAATAGATAATTTTTTTTAATTTAGCTTTATTGAACTTAAAATCCTTTAAAATGTTCGGTTGAAAAGAGAGAGGAGCTGTAGTGTGAGAAAAAAAGAAATGGAATGTTTAAATTTTTTGGTAAATTTATGTTTTGACTGTTGAATATGTTGAATAAAAAATTTGATATTAAAAATAAAATATTGTGTTAAGTAATTATTTGAATGCAAATAGCAACACTATTTGTCAAAACTTATCATATTTTCCTTTTACAGTTTCTATTTTTCAAACGCCAGAGGATAATTGAACAAATGTAAATATGCACTTAATTCTTTATATGTATTTTTTTAAGAAATTTTATTTCATACATTCCCATGCAGCTTTTAAATTTGATTATTGAGATAATTTTGTTTGTAAAATTTAAAATTTTACTTGATAATATAAATATTAATTTTTAAATAATAAATTTATTTATAAAACATGCCGAAAAAATTAAAGATAAATAAAATTTTTAATGATTTGGTTTGAATTATCTACTGTAATTAATACAAGCAAAGCCCCTAAGGGTCTGTTTGGATATGTTGAAGCTTGTGCGAGAAATATTGTTCTATAACTGCTTTAAAAGTATAAGCATTGTAGGAGGTAAGAAGTTGGTTGACAATAATATTATAGAAAGGCTATGAAATGTTGAGATTATAAAAAAATATATTTTGTTAAGACATTTTTTTATTTAAAAAAATTATTAAATTTATTTATTTATTGGATATTCGTTATATTCATAATTTTTATTAGAATTAAAATAGGATAAATTTAGAATATAATAAAAATATTATAAGCATATATACAATTTTATACATATATGAATTATAAACTTAAGTAAATAAATAAACAAAAAATAAAATCTCATTAAACCCAAATCATTATAGGTTTTAATCAGAAAGAAATATGTAAAAATACTAATTTAAAAAGAAAATAAAAGGTAAATGGAATTTAACTAACAAAAAAAATAAAAGAAAAAAAAAAGGAAAGTAAAGTACTACTACAGTAAAAAGAATAAAAAGTGAATGATTGAGGAGGCTAAATGTTAGATTTGTTTAGACTTTAGAAGCAAAGTAAGAATATATAAAATTTTCATTAAACTCAAAACTCTAATGTTAAAAGTCGTTTTAATTGAAGTTACAAATTGCAGTTACAGCTTTAACTTATCAAATTTTAAAATAATGCTATTTACACTCCCATTTCCTCTTTTCACACTCCATTATTATTAACACTCATTTTTTATTCTCTTCGCACCCTAGACTAAAACATTAATTTACTAAAAAACCCAAACATCTCACACTTCTTTTTATTCTTCACCGAAACCTTAAACCTTTTAAGGATTAAAATCTAACGAAGCCTCGATCACCTATGTGATGTTAAATAGTTTAAAATTATAGATAAATCATTTTTGTTTTTATTTAATTTTGTATTCAATTTTAAAATATTTAAAATTTTAAGTTTAGATGTGTGATTTGAAGCGATGATTTGAATATTTTATAAATGAATTTTCAAAAATTATTGAAGGTTTATAGAACTGGATGTCCAAAAATATATTCAGCATATTGAAATTTTATTTTTGTAATCTTTTAAAAGCTTTTACATAACCATTTAAAAAAAATTTTAACAATCTTGGAAAGTATATTTTTAAAATTTCTTAATGGTTTATAGACATTCATTTCTGAAATCTTTTAAAAAATTTTGAAAATAAATTTTCGGTACATAATAACTTTTAGCTACTAATAGAAATCAAATAACTTTTTTGAATTTACCTTATTATGTCATCAACAAACTGGCAAATTCATCAATAAGGACTTATAATCTTTTAACCATCAGGCATTGTTCATTCAATAACGTTTACAACATTTTGCAATTACAACAGATGTACATCTACAAAGAATCGCTAAGTGTGAAAAGGTGCTTATGCAAATTAATTGCTGCACCACGTATAATGAAGCGTGACTACCTCATGTACACGATGCAGTAGCCATTTACACGAGTGCTTTTCACAATTAATAATTTCTTTAAAATACACATTTGTTATAATTGATAAAATATTTCAAATATTATTAAACGAATAGTACTTGACTAAAAGATTAGAGATTTCTATTATCGGATTTAAACATCTCATACATTTGAGAAATCATTACAGACTTATTTAAAGATCGCAGTAAGGGACATCCGATATTATTGTAGCAAACATTGATCAAGATATTGCAACAACAAAATTGAAGCAAAATATTATTTTCATAAATATATTTATGGATAATTGTAATGTTTTACAAAAATAAAATTTTAGTAAAATTAATAAGTTTTCAAAAATCAATTTTCGATACATTAAATAAGTTTTCAAAAATTCATTTCCAGTAACTTACTGATAAAGGGTGTAAATAACAAAAAGGTAATTAACTAATGGGTATTTAAGTAATTTTTTTATTATTTTTTTATTGTGTGTTGAAAGTTTTTCAAGGTGCAAATAATCTTTTTTCAAAACTTATTAACTGCTTCTCAAATAAGGTTTTTAGGTCATGTTTTGTATATAATATTATAATATGATAGGATAACATGATATTATAAATAAAATAGATTAAATTATGTCATATTTCTATATTTGATATGTACAAGCATTAAGATTGGGTAATTTATTTATTAATCAAAATTATTTTTTCTCAAATTTTATACAATTTAAATTATTGATGTAAATTTTAAGGGTATAATAGGATATATAAGTTTGATCTTATGTATTAAAAATAATTATCTCCACTTTAAAAATATTGAATTATGTTATACCAAAATGATGATAATCCTTATTGTAATCTTATCCATTTCAATTTAATACAAATCAAACATAATATATAATGACTATCATACTATTCTATTTATTATCCGATGTACCAAATATAACCATAATGTTCCCAAATAGCTTAAATGGTTAAATGAAAGTAAATGTTGTTTGATAAACTAAATAAGTTCAAAATTGAAAAATTAAGTATTATGATAATGTTTGGTAAACAAGATATGTGTGATAAGATAAGATAAGATAATACTATAAATAAGATTAGATTAATAATGTTATCCTATATTGTATTTATATGTGCAAGGATTAATATAAGATAATTTATTTATTAGTCAAAATTATCATTTCTTAAAGTTATACAATTTAGATTATTGATATAATTTTTAAGGGTATAATAAGATATGTAAATTAAATCCTATGAATTAAAAATAATTTTTTTCATTTTGAAATGATTGAGTTATCCTATATCAAGAGAATAATAATTATTCTTGTAATCGCATTATTATTTTTTAAATACAAACCAAACTAATATAGGATGATTATCATCCTATCATATTAATTATTTTATACACTAAATATGACCTATAAGAATTAAATTTATAATATAAAAATTATTTGGTATACTATTGAAAATTAAATGTTTATTTTTTTTATTAAATTTAAAAATATGATTTTATAATTATTTTTTATTTTTTTGGCTATGATTATAATTATTTTTTATTGATAAAAAAAATAAAATGATTAAAAGGAAAGAGTATGAAATTAATGTAATTAGATAACATTAAAAAAACTTAACTTCAATGCATTGAATAATTAAAAGCTACTTGGCATTTTTAACACTTTTTCTTTAAAAATCTTCTATTAAGCATTTTATAAAAATGATTTATCAAATGGATTAAAAATTTTAATTTTCACAAAAATTCTCAATTGTTTCACGGAGTTAAATTACTTTTTGAATGGTATAATTGTAATATCACGACAAATGACATAAACTGAATGTTGAGTGCTGCTAAATGCACCTTTTTATATTTTTTTTACATTTAGTTTTTTTTTTTAATTTTTTATAAGTGAAATTATTTAATTATCCATTATCTTTTACATAAGTTTTTGAAATAGATTTTTGAAAAGGTATAAACCTTTTCGAAAATGAATTTTTAAAAATTATATAATTTTTTGAAAGATTATAAATATTTTATTTTCATAAAGTTAAATTTAAAAAAAAAAATTATAACTTTGCAAAAATATATTTTTCAAAAATTATATGATTTTTTGAAAATTTATTTTTAAAAAATTATAAAAAAATTTAAATAATTTTACTTACAAAAATTTTAATAAAAAGATTTGAGATGTAAAGAAAAAAAAATGAATGCATTTAGTAGTAATAATTTTTAATTGTTCACATGGTGACATGCTCATCCTCTCACCAGCCGTTAAGGGAAAGAAAAAAATCGATAAATTCAAAAACCAAATTCGGTTTGGATGGAAATAATTTATTTTTATTCTATTCGGATTAAATTCAGATATTAAATATATATATATATATATATATTAGATTTGGATTAAATTTTAGTTCAAAAAATAAAAAATAAAAAAAATAAATCAAATTATATATATTTTAATATATATATTTTAAATTTATATAAATTAAAATAATAATTTTATATCAAAATTTATTTAAATATATTAAAATTTTATATTAAAATAATATATAAAAATTAAAAATTAAAAATTAATAAATCAAATTGAACTAAAATTTTATTCAATTCAAATAAAATGAAAGTTCAGTTTAAATTTAAATTTAAACTTTATAATATTATATAATATATAAAAAAATTGAATCGAATCCAATTTCAATCAAATTATTATCGCCTTTACCGATCCTAGTTAAGAAGGCCATTAACGTAAAATCCATAGTCAATGACAGAGTTGACCAGAAACGTGTCGTGTTTGTAATAGATCATATATGGAACACTTTTCTCCTGGACTACATCGGATAAACATTAGCGAATGGATAACGGCAGGTCAAGACTTGATCGAATAAAAAAGATGTCAGTGTGGGGATGACCTCACCGGAATATGCCCTAAAGGCTCCCAACCGACGGGCGATTTTTCCAAAACAGAGACCAAAAACCGGGCCGTTTCCCGAAAACTATAAATACTTCTCATTCTCACCTTCCTTCCCTATTTTTGCCCTAAAATTTCCAATTCTTTCCTCCTCACTCCCCATATCAGCCGCAGCTATGGTTTCCTCCTCTCCCAAACACTCCCTTTCCTTCCGCTTCCCTCCCACTTCCTTCCTTCTCCTCCCCTTTCTGTTCCCTTAGCAACATCTTTTTCTCCCCTTTGACTGATAGTTCGACCGTGATTCTCTCAGTTGAAACGCCGTCGTTTTGAGCGCCCTTTTTTTTTTTTTTAATTATTTTAAAGTTCTATCCCTTTTCTTTGGTCGGGGAGGCGGGAGTGTTTGGATGGATGCAGTGGAGTTGAATTATCCGGTGGATGTTCCGAAGCTTATGGGATCTGAAGGGTTTGGAAGAGAGGCTAGGGCTAGTGAAGATTGTAAGCCGCTTCTTAATTCTTCGATTGACTGTTGTACCACGTCTCTTGGACATAAAGGTTCATTCTTTTTAACTCTTTTTTTCTTTTAATTATTTGGTTTATTGTTCTCTTTACGTTTAATTTGTAAGGGTTTTTTTTTGCATTTATTTCTTTCTTATTGCTAGAAATAGATAGGCTTTTTGTTTAGCTTCTTTAATTTATCCTAGGGTAGCAAAAACAATGTTCTGAAATAGAGGATAAAAACATTCAATAACGAAAAGAACCAAAAATGGAAAATAAGGATAACTAGTGAAGCTGTGGTTTTCTTTTTATTGTTTTTAGTCCTTTCTTTGGTATTTGTAGTGGAGAATAGTTCATGGGTTTGAAGCAAATGGAAAGTTGTTAGTTTTTAGGAGATGGATTCTAGTACTATAAATCCTTCTACAGATGGGTTGAGGAAACTTCCTCTTACCTTACTGCTGCAGTAATTGTTATTATGTTCTTGTTTTAGCAAAAGAAGACTGTTTGTGATGATGATATAGTAGTAAATAGTAATTGTCTACATGGTGGAAAATGGGCTATCAATTTTAGTATGTTGTTGCCTTGCTGCAATAATTTATGCCACTTTTTCTTGTGCACTTCAATAATTGGTTGTGGTGCTTATTGTCTTTTGTTCATACATTTATATGTTTGGAATGTTATCCCAACTTTTTTGTTCTCAAATTTTAGGTCATTACTGTGTATTCCTTTGTACTGAAATTCATCTTTGACATACATGTGTTCTAAAAAATCTGATGTTTCAGATGACACCAGTGCTGTTGATGCTTTAGATTCAGCTTCATGGAGTAAGATTCCTGATTCTGAACTTTCTAGGCATGCTAGTCAGCTGCCCAGCCATCATATGGAAGAATTGTTTGAACAGCATGATCACAGGGGCACCAGTTGTCACTTACAAAATCCTAGTCCTGATGTTGTTGACACACAAAGAAAAGCCGGAAAAATGACAAGGAGTAGTAGTGGATGTTCTAAGAGAGCGCGTCTTGCTCAGCTAGAGGACATTATGAGTTCAGCTGGAGTTGACGACGTGAAGGATATAAATGATAAGCTAGAGTCTACAAAATGTAACATTCCAGGTTGTACCTTTTCTTCCCCTGTTTGGCAATAATACATTAATTTAACGTAGATTTATGTCAGTCTACTTAAATGTCAGATTATTGGGAAGACTTTCGTCTCCTGAAAGTCTCTTCCTAGTCAAGTTTTTAGAGTTTATCATGTTTTGCTATTTCTTATGCTCTCGTTTCTTTGCATGTTTAGCTTCCACTATGTGGTTCCTTTTTTTTTTTTAATAGTTGGAATGTCCTTGGAGTCTAATGTTTGGTATAGTAACAAATTTTATTTAATTTGAAATTGCAATTTTGGCAAGTATTCTTGTTTTTGCCTCTGTGTGTGTATCACACAATCATTTTGATTACGTCCACCATCTTATGGGAAACAAGGGAAAGTTTAACAGGAATCATGTTTAAATTGATTAATCTTGTTTCGCTTAAATTAGTGTTGTATCACTAAGATTTGACGAGATGCTTTTAACCACTCGGTACTTAGAAAATCTGGCTCTCCTTTTTAAAGTTTGTGAGGCACCTCTAGAATTTAGATTTGAAGATGCATGTTTTAACAAGTCGATAGCTTTATTTTGTTCAATTTTAAAACCCTTGAGTCAACAAGTGTAAGTGCATCAATTAGAATCATGAGAGTGCCACTTTACTGGAACAAGAATAGGAGCTTATTCACATCACTGTCTCAGATTCCCACTTTTTGTAGGGACTGATTTGAACAATGACCCTTTATGTTATCTACGAGGTGATAAAAGGAAAGCCCCCATGTAAACAGAAGATTTCTGTCTTTGCTAGTAATATTACTGAAATAATGCCCTTTCTTACTTGTCAAATTGTAGTATAAAGTCAGATGTCTAATTATGGTCAGTGACTTTAATTCAAAGTTCTATTGATTGTGTTTTTTGATGAATAAACCTCTTGGATGATTGTTGAATTAATTGCTTTGTTGGATTTGTCACTGTCCTGCTGCTATATAAGTTTGCTTTATTGCTTAGGTAAGCATGAGCTCTTCTTTTCTCGTTCCAACTTGGCCACTCAATAAGGAACTGACTCATTTGGTAAATAATTTTGCTGTTATTTTTTGTATGTTACGAAGATGATTGTACGTAACACATGCAAGTCTTAATGGAAAAATTTTATGAGACTGGTTTAAATGGACTGCACAATCTAAAGGTTGAAAGTTTTCATGCTTGTCATCTACTGCAGACAACAAGTTTAGAAATAGAAATTTAAAAGTAGAATCTGGACTATCCTGGCAATTTGTTGGAGATTATGCTGATTGTCTGTTTTCTCCTTTTGTAAAATAAATTACAGACAAAACTCAAATGTCAAGACAAAAGAACAGCTTTAATGTCAAACGAGGCGACAGGAGAAATTTCAAAGTTCCTATGAAGCCGAAATTTGATTCTTTCTCCATGAAGGCGGGTTTGGGGAACTTCACGATGGCCTCTGGAGGGAACAACTTCCTTGGTATGTCATTGTTACCAAAACCTCTTTTGTTAACATACATGTATTTGTTATTGTATTATGCTATGTTAAGCATATAAGAAATGTTTGTCACAGTTCTTGGGTTTGGATATACTAAAATAGTCCCACTGATTTTGTGGACGATTGACTGCGTGACTATTATCTACTCATTTAGTTTAAAGTTTGCTACCAGTTGTATATTTCAATTTTTTTTTACTTCATTCACCTTTGGGCATCAATTTCAGGTTTATATGGTCTGAAGGCAGATATTCATGACGTCACTAAGCTTGTGGAGGATTTATCATTAAATGAACTCCTTGATGGCACTTATGAGTGCCCCAGTTTAGGAAAGGAGAAGGGGAGGAAAGCAGCTAACCCAACTGAAAATTTTCTACATTCAATTAAAAAGGCATGCTCCATTCTTTCGCTTCAAAGGGTTCAGTCCCAAAATTTTACAGATATAGACAATTCATCCCACAAGAAAATGTCTATGTACCCACCAAGCTCTGTTTCTGTAGTGGCAAGTGGTATTAATGGTGATAAAGAAGACACCTGTTCTATAGACCCCTCACCATGCAACAAGGTTTGTTTTGAGCAAAATCTAATATGCTTGATAGCAACCACAAATGAAGTAAAAATATTGATATCCATTGATTGATACTCAATAAAACACTTTCTCCCTATTGACAGGAGGCTTTAGCAATTTTCATTTTCCCTTTTTATTTATCTGTTTTATTTTTGCAACTTTTTATGGTATCAACGCCATTTGGCTAGGTCCATTCCATGCTCTGAAGTTCATTTGCTGGACCTTTTGAAGCTGTGCATGCATATGACTCGTTGTTATCATGCCTTGAAGTCTAAGGCTCAAGTTGCAAGGGCTATTTTATTTTTGTTTTAAATCCCTCATAGATGCTGACAAGTTAGTGATTAACTTTGTACTATTATTTTTGTTCCAAACTCAGGATTCTTGTAGCAAGCCTGATATGCCTGCCAACCCTCCAGATTTTCTGTTATGTCAGCCCAAAGATATTCTGGGGCGCTTGGCATTGCCTCCATCTAAAGATCTGGACTCTTTGCTTCTTGATGCAACCAAGCCTTCTTCATCCACAAGGAACAATTCTGATATTCGTTCAAGCAAGCAAATATCCCGCCGAGCTAGCTTGCCACCATTTCCCTGGTCACATACTTTTAATGGTTGTAGAACTAATTCTGATGTGGGTAAGCTTTTATCAAATAAGAGCACTTGCCAAGGACGATGGGTAAAAATACCGAACACTTTCAGTACGCCTGGGATTGTAACTGGTTGTTTTACCAACTTGGAGTCACTTGCTTTTGATCCAAGCCTAATTCCTTCAGGTTCAAAGTTTGGTAGCTTGGAAGGTGGAATTGCCTACACTGGTAATCTTCGTTTCTGTGAGCAGGGTACATCATCTCTTGCAACTTATATGAAGGCTTTTAATGTTCCTCAAGGTAAGAATATCTTGAAGAGGTAGCTTCATGGGCTTTTTTTTGGCTTAATCAGGGATTTGTCTTTTCTTGAATTGTCTCTCCTTGTTTAGTAGTGGGCATGTTTGCTATGGATATGGTAATCTCTTTTGAAGGAGTCCTTTACTTGTTTTTCCAAGGCTGTCTTATTTTCTGGATGAAGTAGCTAGTTTCACAACATTCTTCTCAGGAATCCTGCAAGCCTCAGCCCCCATATGCATGCCTATCCCTTTATTATTATTATTATGGGATAAAGAACTGAATGATAGAAATCTTTCAAAGTGGAAGTGAGCGTACTTGTTCTTGTTCTGGCTATCAAGTTTTAGAGTAGCTTTAGGTTGAAATATGGGCCATGTGGAGTGAGATTTCTACTTTCATTCTCGTATTTGAATGTAGGCAAATTTTTTGCCTTTTCAGTTTTATCAATCATTTCTTACTTATAGCGTTCTTTTTGGTGATAGTTGGTCACTGTCCAAGACTATTGGCTGCCGCTCAAACATTGTGTGACATTGCATCTAAATCCTTGAGGCAGAGCCCAGATGGGAATGCAAAGTGGCCAAAGAAGCCTTCACAAAAGGCCATGAAAGCTCGCAAGACAAAATCAATTGACAAACCTGAGGAAATCTATGTGACACCTTCTTCAATGTTGGGATCTGACAAACTGGTGAGAAGTGATATGGACCAGATAATTCCCTCAAAAAGGTCTAAGCTCTCAGTGGTTGAGAATAAGAAGGATCTCATTCGTATCAATGGTGTTAGACCAATAGCTTGGTCTACTCCTAGATCAAGTAGATCATCGCCTGGCAAATCATTAAGAGACTCAACTGTGGAAATAAGACATCCTACTGCCAATGTGCTAAAGCCACCATGTACTATGCATCCGCCAGCAACAGTTTCGGATAAGCCTTGCAACAGTCAACATAAGTTGCGTAAACTGATGCCAGTGGACTGGAAGAGGGGGAGAGATAGGCATGAGTAATTAAGTATTTTTTTTTTCCATGTAGAAGTTGCATTCAACAATTGTTGCAATTTATCAACCTCTATGTGAGGTGGCCGTGTTCCCGGTTTATTTGTATATATTGTGTTGTAGGTGGAATGGAATAGTTCTATGGTGAAGGGAGGAAATGTTACAATAGAAAAGCAGAGGATTTTAGTGTTGTAACATCAAGGATAATTGTAAAATACAGCAGGGAATTCTTTGCCTTGTGTAGAGCAATTGATGAGCCAATAGAAATTTCAGTCTCACTTTGGCTTTTGAGTCTCATTGTCTTAAAACCAGGTTGCAGTACAAACCACTCCTGACAAGTACGATTAGAAACTTTGTAGAAAAGGCATAATCCCACCATTTGCAAATGCTCAATGATAAAAGCAGCATGAGAATTTTTGGTTCAATGGTAAGTGCTTGTATCTTTTATATTCAAAGATTGGGATGGTCCTGTCTTTGCAATAGTAATATAAAATCTGCAGAGCCTTGTTTCAATTCCTGGAAAAGTCTTCATATTTTCGGCTCTTAGAAAAGTCTGAAGCTCCCAAATAGCAACTTGATTAGGCAGACGTAGCTCATTCTAAGCATAGCCAGTAGATTTATGATGGAAAAGATTTATGAACCATGCAATCAGGCCATATCGTGAGTTTGAGCATTTTTAACACGGTTCAAACAAACTTGTTTTTGAAGTAAAGAAATTTGACCGAGTAAAATGCTGGAGAATAGCTAGGCTTGTTGGTTCAACACTTCAACTAACTTCCAGAATTGCATGGAAGAAACCCACTAACTTCCAGAATTTCATGAAAGAAACCCATGTTACCCTTAAGCATACATGTGATCCAACGAAATATATTGTTGACTTTCTGCAAAATAATGAATCTAATTGTGTGAGTAAACGAACCTTAAACAGAAAACTTTTTACAGAGTTTCCTGGAAATCAACCAATTACATAAAGTTGAGATAAATCAGCAAGGAAATGAAAATGAACTCTGCTACCGAATTCAGAGTAGTTAAATGGTAAATGGTTTCAATCAATTTTAATTCAGTGCTTTCTGTAAAGTCCCTATTTATTTATATTTACATGGTTTTTGATGCTGTAGCAGCTTATCATTAGAACAGCAGCTTTGGCTTGAAAACAGGAATGATTAGTTCTCATAAAAAGAATACACCTAACCAAAACAAAAAAAGAGAAGAAAATCTAAGAAAACATTTGATCCAGCAGAAGAACAAGAGCCATAACAAATCCAGGATCAAATCCTGCCTGTACAATCAACAGAAAAACATCAAGGCCGAAAGAAATGCCTTCCATTATTGCATCTTTTCTCCTGATCTCTGCCACCACCCTCTTTGTTTCATCTAGTACTTTACATGATCTATGCGAATATGATCCTTCAATCATATAAGCATACCTTTTGTCGGACGACGGGCGATATACATATGCTAGCACATTAGGGTTGGCATGTAAAATGTTAATGCTCTTCTTTACATAGAAAATTGGCTTTTCTGATGATTTTGCTGGTGTACAAAATTCACCCACTTCACCTCCATAGACAAGCCAGGTATCTACTAGTCTAAGGTTCTGTCCATAAACATGACAAATTAAGCTCGATATTACTACTATATATGCATACATGAAATCCTGCAAGAATTATATGAGATGATCATGGTAGTACCTTGCTACGTCGCATTGTCAGGATCGATTTTCCTGAGCCGTCCATAAGAATGAGTTCCTTGGGGCGTCCAATGTAGTTGTCAACTCGATAAACTAGTTTTCCATCAGAATCAATAACAGTGAATCCATTACAACTAAGTATAAGCGATTTTCTCCACACTGTTAGTGATGTGCACAGATCATCACCTTGGGTTTTGGATGACTCAGGCTGCTCTTGATGTTCTTCATCATGGACTGATCTTGACAAGGATTTCAAGAAAAGAAACATTTTTCATGTCTTCCTGTCTAACAACTGTTTTTGAAGCTTGAGAAGGTTATGGGAAAAGATTTTTATAGGCTATAGTAAGACTCACTAACCTATGGTAGTTAAGCTATAATTATTTCTTTTCCCGCTGAAAGTTGTGAAAGAGGCAACTTTTTTACCTAACTGTCATGCCTCTTTTTCTACGGGCAATTTTGATGGGATTAAAATAAAAGGTTTATTTAATTTCATGTTGTCTAGATTTCACATATCAAGTACGTTGGAAAATGGGACACTTTGTGTTTTCTTCATAGATGTTATCCAAGTTTCCAAAGTTTCTCTTCTTTCAATTAGTTTTTAGGTCCTTATTGAATTCGTTCAAGGATTCATAAGAAAGCGACGAAAATATGAACCATAAAATCTGTGAGAAATTCAAGATAGACTGTGTAGTTTTTTCCGTCACAGTTTCCCATCTGTTGAACTTAATGTCAAAACAAATAAAACAAAAGAGAGAATGGCGAGACGTGACCATCATTGGCATATTATTTTTGTATCCAGATACTCTTATGTCGTTGGAATTGCTAGTAGTCATAGTTTTTCAGCATTTCAATGGTAGGCCAGCTTGGTGGAGACGTTGCTCCCAGGGTATTTGTTGGTCACTTGGACTAATATAATACGAACATTAATGAAGAGAACAAATTGATAAGTCTAAATCCTCACTTGGTCTATATATGTTTTATGCAAAGCTGCTCTATACATCAGACAAAATCATTCTGTCTTGGGTGTTCTGATAGTTCTGATCAAGCTTAAACTATGTCAATAGGTTTCCCCGAAGCCAGTGGACTTTCTCAAGTTGGTTTTTGGGGACGTTTAACCAATGATTCAATATTGCCAGTAGATTTGAACTGTTTCTTAGTTGAGAAAATCAGAAAACATCATCAAACATTCAAAGTTCAGACTCGAGAGCATACGTTATAGACTGGTAAATCACTACTATACGTAGGTCCACGTCCACTGCTCTGAAATATCTAGCAAAACTATAGATTTTTCCAAAGTTCTATAGTTGCATTAAATTTCTGGAAGATCCACCGAATAATAATCATAGAATGTGCCTATGAATTAGTCATATTCTCTTCAAACACGTCTTTCCTCCAAGATAGAGATTAGAGAGGGAGAGCTGAGAGAGAGATCGAAAAGGGCCAATTGAGAAGACATTCGGTATTAAGGGACTTAATAGTAACACACTTTCATTTTTCACTTTTAAACAATGAAGAGAACATTTTCCCTTTTTTTGTTTTCTTTTCTTATTAGCAAGAAAACTCTTTATCTGAATCAATACTTAATTTAGTTATTTCATGTATTCAATTTTAAAAAATAATAATTAATTATAAAAGTTAAATTTCAACACTTATAACTTCTTCTTTTGTTTTCCTATTTTTTTATTAATTAATTAATTTTTTATTTCAAAGTGAGTAGATCTTAGCACAAAAATGTGAATTTTACGACTAAACTTGACCGACATAAATAAGAATTGTGCAACAATTCATCCTCTATATGTCTAACCTAAAGGATGTTTACAACATGAACTGTCCACTTCAAACTTTGAAGTGTTTTGTTGCCATGGGCAGCCGACCAAGACTTTTTTAGTAACCCATCTTCTATTCTTTCATCAATTTTCCTTCAAACTTTCTGGTTTGGGCTTCTTTTCATTGTAACTATTTCACAGTTATTATATATATTTATATAATGCTTGATAAAATATGTGGACTTGCACAACCAGTCTCATTTTGACACCACTGCCTAGAGCTCATATTCTATAGCAGGGGGTCACCACCACTCTTGTCCTTTTTTACCACTACAATTTGACAATTGAAACTAAATTTGCACCAAAAGTTTTATTAAGCAGATTCTCCACTGTTTTTGAAGTAATTTAATAAGAAAGCAACAAAATCTTCTTATGTCAAAGACACCCCAAAATCAAAATTAGACCAGAACTTTTCTTCAAATTACCTTTATACGGCTTAGATTTGTCTTTCTGGCTCAGGATTTGTATAAAACATGAACATGTTATCATCAAATTGACAAGCGGCCTTGATTACAATCAGACTAAATCGGGTATGGTGGGTCCCTTCGAGATATTGTTCCCTGCCAGAGTCAGAAAACTATTCCAAGCAAGCATGCAAGTTCCTGTACGAGTATAGGTGTCAAACCACGTGCAAAATTCCTGGTTGAAGTGGTGATTTTCTGATAATCTTCTTGGCAGTGACCGATCACAGGGTTTTTTGTTAGAGAAAAGAAAACGTGTTCACAAGCTTGGACAGATTTGTTCTTTGGGATGGAAGGATCGAGGAAGTCTGAATTGGTCAATTAGGTGCAATAGTTTCCCTCTCCTACCAATATGTGAGGTTGAACTTGAATCTGGAATGCGTATACCCTACTTTTCTACATCCAATGGACTGCAAAAAGATTTGGTTTCATATGACGATCTAAACAGGAATTATACCTAAAGCAAGATTCCAAATCACCCCAGCGGCGCCTAACAGTTATTTTATATAAATGAGATTTTCTTGATCTTTAGGATATGATTTTGAAGTTGCTTGCATGGGTTTATTTATTTTAATATTTTAATTATCACGAGGCAACAGGATTGCATCCGCAGACGGAGGTAACGGCAAAAGTTTTTCACCATGGGTCCTGTCCATTGGCAGTAAGAGCAATGGCAAATTCAATCTTCTCCAAGCCCAAGGCTATCCGGCTGGTTGTGTCAGTACTCGTCTGAAAAAGAGGGTTGCGTAGATAAAAAATGAAGAACTCATCCAAGATTTATGGGCCAAATTTCAATCTACTTTTGAGTCCACTTATTGGAGGCCGAAGGGCATTAATCCACATGCATGGATCATGGATGACACATTGGCTGGGCAGATGCTTAAGCTTCATGGTCTTAAGGGATGGTTGTGCCTAGTGGACTCATTTATGGTTTATTGACCAAACCAGTAGTGATTTACAAAAGCGCCGGCTGGCCTACTTTCAAGAAACATCCAGCCACTTTTTTTTTTTTTTTTTCTTTTTCCCCTTTAAAGCTTTACTTTTGGTTGTGATGCAATAGCAATTCCCCCCTTTTTTTTTTGTTTTTGTTTTCTATTTTCGATGAATAGATGAAGACAACTACTATCAATGTACTGGCTGGCCAAAAAGATGAAAATCCGATTTCAGTAAAATGTGATGGAAATTTGATTTTCATCCAAAGTACAAGCTTTCTTTGATAGGAATCAGGAACGAGACAAAATATTGACGTGTTTAAATCACACACAGCCTGTCTTTTGCTGTCCTGATAATTATTAGATTTTCAGTTTGAATTTTCTATTTTCTTAAAAAAGCGAATACTTAAGTAAAAGACAGAAAAAAAATATTAAATTTTAAATAAGAATAATTTGTGAACAGAAAAGAGTAATGGAAAGGAAAAAAAAAGAATATAAAGGGATATGTGGTTCTCATGAACTTCCTTTTCCAATTTTTTTATCTATTTTTTTTTGAATATTTTAAAATTATGTTTTTTTTAACATTTAACATTTAAAATTTATTTTTATGCTTTTCTTTTAAATTTTAATTTTATAAATTTTTTTAATTTTAATATTAAATATATTAAAGTTAATTTTTTTCTTAAATTTCATGAAAATCAATTCCTCTCAAATAATTTGAAACGAAAAAAATAAATTTATGCAGAAAAATCTCAAAAGGTTCCATTATTTATATTTTTACTTATATGAAAGAATAAGTGAAACTCTTATTTATAAAAGCAGTATTTTACACAGTATACGAAAATTTTAATTTGTTGTTTTCTTCAATAATTTTTTCTCTTATCACATAACATGTGATAAATTTTGTATTATGTCATATACTTCAATCACAAACATTTAAAAATTATATGGTCAATATCTTCTTTTCTTACTATAATTGCTGCAAAGAATTAACAAGACAAAACCTACATATTGCTTCCCAGCAAATGTAAAGCAACGTTACTAAAAGTCTAAGAAACCTTGATCATTTCCTTTATAAAGCAAAGTAGCATGCAAACAAGTAAAAAAAAAAAAAATTAAGTGATTAAGCCTACGTTGAATTATACTCTCCATTTCTCACATCAAGACTTAGGTAATACCAGAAATAATAATCATTTAAGGATTCCATTTTGAGTGGATTGCCCCTTCTTTTTTTCCTTTCAATGTTCATAGGCTGTCCTGTCTGCTACGGCAATTCATGAGGTCAATTCATGAAACACTTGTCTTTGTTTCGATTCTTACCTTTAATTTTGCCGTATTTGAAACTCTAAAAAAAGCTTTATTCGGCGCACGTAATCTACTTTCTATTCCCATTTATGAACTTGTTCAACCATTAAAAAACTTCATAGAAAAATGAATTAGTGCTTCTTTGTTGCTGCCATTAGATAACTTATTTTTATATTATACAAAACTTAGTGGGATTTCATGTTTTTTGTTCTCTGTACAGGAATAAAGCGATGCCCACTTCACTTTCGATGATTGAAACCAAGCAGTAAGCAATCTTTCAGGTTTTAATATTTAAATGTATATATTACATGTGTTAACTTAATAATGCAGATAGGACATTGTATGTAATATGAAGAAAGGTGGGTGATGATGATCAAGATTATTGCCCACAAAATGGGCAGCGAAGTCAACTCTTATGCATTAAAATACAGTACTTGTGGGGTGACTTTATCAAGAAGAAACCTTCAAAAAATAATTAAAATTTTGGGGACCACCCCGCCTCCCCTTTGAATTGCATGCACCGAAAAACTCCATTATATATGCACCAGAAAGCAACACGATCAAAGAATTTCACATTCCTTAGAAAAAAAGGTGAGGGATCTATTCTCCTAAATTTATAGTGAAATAAAAATGGAGTACAGAAAGGGTTGGTAAATCCACTATAGACATGAGGTATTGAATAGTTTGGCTGGTGCAACCTAATTTCAATATTCAATGATCGTATATTATATTATATTAACAGCAGTTTCCTTATTAGTTTTTTTCTTCACGTTTTATTATCTAAAAAAAAATGAAATTATATCAAATTTGTCTGTCTATAAGTATACATTTGGTCAAAAAAAAAGAGTTGAATCCCTTTCAAACTACATCCCATCATAATCAAAGTCCACATAGTCCACTATGCTACTTCAACAGTCAATTCTATTATATATCAAATATGCATCAATACAATTTAACTGACCACAAAAATTATCTGCAAGCAACTAAAATTTACAATATTCAAAGTCACAAAGCGTGCTTTGTAAGTGTGTGTTAGTAAATACTTTAAGGGATGTTTGGTTTGAAAAAATTCATAAATTTTTTTTTTTAAAATTTTGATGGTGACTATTTGATTTTCACGTTTGATTTAAGGCAATCAAATTATGAGAAAAAGTAACAAATTTTCAACAGTACTCAAACTTCAAAAATAAAAAACTTACTTCTCATTGTAGTATTTTAGGATTCTGAAGGAGAAAATTACATTATTTTTAAATTTAACCTAAATAAAAGATTATGAAATAGCTATTACCCTTTTGAAAATCATGTCTGAAAGTGACTGCAACTTAGTTGTAAGTTTTTGTTATTAAAATTTTTTTATATTGCAATTAATGACAT